ATTGTGGTAACTGTCAGAAATATGGATGATCAACAACCACTTGTGGTAACTGTCTGAAATAATACTATAATATTATCAGCACAATTGTTACAGGCGGCCAATATAGACTCCCCTTGCCAGCGTAGAAACTGCTTGGGGAGGATGTGAGGATGGTGAAAACTTTCATCGCCCAACCCCTCCCCTATATATCTCATGATCGGTCCCCACATATGCCATACCTCCCTGGGATATCGCCTCCTCTCTTCCTCGGTGTTTGTTTTTCATAACCCTAATGGAGAAACACACAGCAACAGCAGCTCGTGTGTGCTCTGCTATCCACCAGGGACGTGCGGATCATTCAATTTAGCGCTGTTGACTGTAGCCTCCTGATGCTAAGGTCACAGTTCTCCAGCCTCTACCATGTCTACCAGGCACCGCGGATCGCTTGAAAAATAGTAGATATTGGCCAAAATAAAGGGACTAGTATATCAGAGAAGTTAACCGACCAGAGAGGGTACATTTTGCGCCCCAAGAATGCGGAAAATGTATTCTCTAGCGGACCAACTCCCTAGCATGTTTTCTGTCTGTTTGGCCAATATCTACTCTTTCCAGCCGCCTCCCGAAGCCTGGTAGAGGCTAGCATCTAGTCTTCGCCAGACTCCTTTGCAGGCGGAATAAATAGTAGAAATCGGCCTAACAGAATGTAGCTGATAGGGAAGATGGCCGGCCATAGAGGGTGCACTTTGTATGCACGCCACAAGTACCTGGCAACACTGTCTGTTGTTGTGTAGATAAAAGAAAAGACAGACCTGGCGAAGATGCCTGGTACACCGATCGGCGTACGTTCATATGAGCCAAGTAGAGTGTTTATACATCGTTTGGAAGATCGTAAATAAAAATGGAGAACACCATGGCAAGAGAGGTATTACAGACCTTCCTAGAGGCCTCAAGGGTCAAGACCATCTTTACAATTTTTATTTGGTTGACCAAAAAACATAGAAGAAACGAATAAATATCGTTTAGATGAGATGTAAAAAAATAACGTCGAAACTGCATCTCCTGCCAGGGAGCGTCGATTTTCTCCTACAAACGTCTAACCGGTTAAGTAAGTGGTTTTGAAATCATACAGCGCAGTGTTGTTTAATGGACGCGGTATGTGCTGACCTTTCAAAGCCTAACGGCAGAGGTATTATTTTGCGGCAACGTTAAAGCAGCAGGGTTTTACATCTGCTGCCATAATGGGGCAATTTTGAACCTTTCGTGCTCTCTGGCTCTTGGGGAGGGATTCTGGGCTGAGACAAAAACACGACTGGAGTACGTCTGTGCACTGTGGCAGCTACAGATCTGGTAGAAGTAACGTTATGTTTCTAATTAATATGAAAAATAGGTGGAGAGCGATCAGTAGGTACGCTTTCTATGTTTCTTCCCATGGCTCTGAGGGAGAGATTGTGGGGTGACAAAAACACTTGACTGGAGCAAATCAACGCACTGTGACATCTACAGAACCCCCCTCTCTTTTCAACCCGATATTTCAATTATACCGATATACACTGTATAGCACAATAAACGATAAACACAAGTGTATCAATTAACTGAAGAAGGAAGTACAATTTTACTACACATTGAGTGTAAACATATAGCACATCCTTTTTATTTTTTATGACAGAGAACATTCTAGACCGTTTTTATCACTCAATTGTCAGATCAAACATTTAAGTCCCTCGCCAGCGGTCGGCAGACAAAAAGGCTAGCAAAGGTCGGCAGATTTTGTTCTAAAGTCAGTTTTAGGTAACCGGAAACATAATGTTTTTCCTAGGCCCAATATAAATGTGTCACACTTGCGTGACACGGTCCTCAGTAATGTCAGCCCGGAATGAGGAAAGCACTCTCGGAGATCAAAACTCCGCCACTTCAGCGTACCACCATATAATGATGAATGCAAAGTAATACCTATTTCTGCAACATGTAACAAACAAGGTTTTTAATAAGAACTTTTAATAGCATGTTGTTGTACCCAAAAGATGCCTTTATGTTGATCACAGAGAAGTTCAGACAACCAGTAAGGTTGCCTGCGAGTCTATTATCTGGGAAAAGTGTACACTGTATCTATTCAGAATAAACCATTCACATAATCATACACAAAATCTACAGGCACCGCCGTTTGAGGCGACAGGAAGGATTTGATGATGATGATGATGACTGGTTTATTGATTAAAAACATTTTACAGCCCGGAGGCTGAATTGCATGTTTTCCATCTGGCCCTATCTGCAGCTGCGTCCGGGGCTGTGTCCAGAGTCAGTCCCTCTGTATCGTTCTCCTCCACGTCTCTTTTGGACGCCCTCTATTTCTCTTTCCTGTTGGTTGCCATGTTAGGGCAGTTCTGGTTATTGAGTCTGAGGGCATGCGGAAGACGTGACCACACCAGGCCCATCCGCGCGCTGCAATGGTTTTCTCCAGAGTGGTTTTCACCATTGCTGTTCTGTTAAGAAGGTCCTCGTTTGAGATGGTGTTTGGCCAGAATATCCTTAGTATTCGTCTTAGGCATTTGATCTGGAACACCTCTACCTTGTGTATACTCTAAAGTACTGATGCTGTTGGTTTTTTTTTTTTTAATCGAACTCCATTAGTTTGTACAGAGTATCTATACATACCAGTCTTCCTGGGGTCGTATTACACATACAAACACTAAACCCAACTACACATTTATCTATATACACCTACAGGCTAAACTTAACTACAAGTAAGACTACAACTTAGTGCAAGTTGTGCTGAGAGGTCAGAGGCCTTGACTCTAAGCTACGTTCCATGTTTTTAAAAATTCATACTTATACTTTGTCATTACCTCTACCACCAAGATTGCAAGGGTTGGGAAGTGTCCACCATAGTTTTTAACCATTCCCGGTCGGATTTTTTTCTTAAAAGATGTTGGTGAATGCTGTTGGTAAATGCCGGCCCTTTGATATACAAACGACATGTCGAGATTGTTTCTGAAAAGGTTGAGACGTGCGTCAGAGATGGGTTTAATTGCAGAAGAAGCGAGCCTTTGAGTTGGCGCTGTCCCTCGGGCGGTCCATGCGCGGCTCGGCAAGTCTTCTCATCTTAGAGGCCATGTTGACATGATTATATGGATGGCATCCGCGCGCACATGAATTTTCGTCCGTTTCGAAAAGAAAAGTTTTCGACCATACTGTAAACCGTACAAGGTAGCTACAAAATGAGCAAATATATGCCGTAAATTGAAAAATACTTATGACACAGAATACCAAAATCCATTCCAAAGGACAAGAAGAAAACGTGAAGGAATGAAAATGAAGAGTCTATTATTCACCATGCTAATAGAATATTACTCTGTGTGTTTGGTCATTTGTTTAACCACCTAGATTTCATAATGAAGGTAATATTTTTTTGCCAAACTTTTTTTTATTCGCACGCTCGCATCAGTGTTGGAGTTCCGAGAGGATGTCATCCATATAATCAAATCAACATGGCCCTAGAACACGCAAAACGCACAACAGCGTCGTTAATGGCCCGTATGACCCTTCTGTTTATGTAGATAAAATATCTGAAGATCACAGACAGGCATCCGTGTTTCTACACCCGGCAGATAAAAAGGCTTAATTGGTCGGACTGTCACGACGTCTTGTAAGAGATTTGATGGGTGAATATTAATTGCGCAAAGATCAAAGAAATGCCCCGAAACGGTCCCAGCCCCGAAATTACCATCAGATGGTCTTAGATGTACAGGGGACAGGGATCTCCATAACGCATGGAGCAATGGTGTACATTATTCCGGTTTTCACAAATATGTTTTTCTGTCTACATCTTTAGGGATCTCTCCAGATTCGTATGGGAGAGGTGCTCCCTATTCGGCTGAGGAAAAAAATCAGCAAATTTTCATTAAAATACTAAAAGAAACCCTAAAAGGTACCAAGATTTTGGATGAGAGAGGGAGCACCCTTGCTGCCCTGATGCTACTTACATCCCGTGGATGTACATAGTAATATTTTACTGTGCCCATTGTACATTTTCCTTAACCTTAGTCTTTCCCGGTGCAACGTGCATCATAAACGTGTTTTGGAGACAAAGTTATGCACACAATGTCAGCTGTGGTCATGGTTATACCTTTTGTGCGACATGATTCAAACTTAGGTGTTATTGTGCCCAATAAACTATGTTACATTTATAAACCAATAATCCCGTCTCATTCTTTTAATGATTTAATATTTATTGCATATTCCTGCCAAGGTGGTCTAAATGCACATGTGACCAACAGAGGTCTAGAGGATGTAAAACATGGAGTATTGAATACTGAACCGCTACATTCTAATGCTAAGTGCTGAAAGTCTATATATTACAACAATACAATATACTAATCATCTATTGTTAGTCGACGTTTCTTCTCTCTTTCTGAAACATCTGGCGACATAAGTACATAATTTGTCTACTATACATTCTAATTTGTCTACTATAAATTTAATTAAGACTTTCTTAAGGTCTTTCTTACGTTTACAAAACCCAGATACCGCCTTGTGGATATAAGCTGATTAGTGAAGCGACATCTATCTCCCGCTGTTTGATCAGGCCGCAGCAAGTAAATTTTATGGATGACATCATCCACAGACTCCCAATCTAATGCGATAGGGCAAAAAAACAAGGCGGGCCAAAAAAAACAACAAGATTGAACATTTTCAACTTTTGACATCGTAAACATTGTGAAACAAGAAATCATACCAGTCCTATATTGCGCTAAGTTTACTGCGAACTATTACAACATCCATTTCTCAATGAAACAACATCACATACACACAGCCACCATCACGTATAAAAGGAATGATATATTTTTCTGCTATCCACGTCCCGGCATGGCCAGACATCTATGCCCATTTTCGGCATGTTGACCACTGTCAGGGGGCAACAAAATTTGTTGTTTTCAAAATCAGGTGAAAATTAATGCCATCCATAAAAATTACTTGCTGTTTGATCAGCCTAAACTCTCCCTTCTCCTCCCGCCACAGAACAGACGGCTCCCGTGGCGGTCCCCCGATGACGTCACGGTCGCCATGACAACGCGCGCCCTCCCGAGGCGTGACAGCGACGAGAGGGCGGTGACGTCACCGGGAAGCTGAGCCGTTCTCTCAGCTGGGAGCTGGCGCGGAGGGACCGCAGCTCAACACGAACCACAAGGGAGACATGTACAGCTCCGTCTGAGGCATCGTCTGCTCCTGCTATTTCTTCTTGAACAGACCTTTAAGTTTCTTAGTTTTTTTTCATCCATGTCAGTTCTCGCTCAGCATTAGCAGCAGGACTGCCTAGACAGAACACTGTCAGATTTTTGCGCTGTGGGAAAGAAGTGACTTCACATTTTGTCTTGCACTGTCTATCCTATCTACGTGCGGACGCCTTGGGGAGTCCTCTACAAGTCTTACTGACAAGCTGATAACACTTTCAGCACCAAGGACGGACACAGAATTTCTCTCCATGTCAGACTGTTAGCTTCGTGACTACATCACACTGGTAAGGGCATTGTCCATTTTGCATGTGTGTTCGGTAGATCTGATTGCCTCCACGTCTAGGCGTCAAACCTACATCAGTTCTGACTGTGGACTGTTGTTGACTGCGTCCATCGTTTCCAGCGCCCAACAGGCCTCCAGCCGTGCCGGTATCATCGTTATCATCACACAAACAGCTTAGACCGAGGAGACTTGTTGGCACAACCCGACCAAGCCTGAGACTTGACAGAGAGAACTGAAGCTTAGCGCAACAACACCTCAACACGCATCGCTTATAGCTACGCCTCTAGCCGTGCTGTTGTTATCTCTGTCATCTTAAAAAACAACAGAGTACACCGAGAAAACCAGGCTTGTTGTGACCAAGCCTGAAACCTTTCAGAGAGAACGAAGCTTGATGCAACAACACCTTAGCACGCATCACTTAGTTACTAATCCAGCCGTGAAGTTGTCATCTCTGTCATCGCTGTCAACAAGACTTTAGCACGCATCACGGAGCTGCCTTCCCATCTGTGACAGTACCATCGCTGACATCCCAATAACAGCGTACACCGAGGAGGACACGCTTGGTGACATTTGCACGGTAAGAAGACCCAACCGGAGACCTTTCATTGAAGCTTTAGGAGTTAGATATAGGAAGATGGGGGGTTATGTAACCAGTATTGTATATATGATAGAGGGATATTTTCAAGATTAGACTGTGGTTTTATGGTTTGTTCTCCGTCCGTACCCTTCATTTGAGTTCAAAAAAATGTCTGAAAAAAAGTCAGTTGCAGTGAAGCTATGACAACGCGGTGTTAGGAAGGTAGGTGGTTAGGTAACCAATATTGTTCATCATCATATTATAACCACTATTGTATAAAGAGGGAGATTATGTGGATATTAGACTGATTTTCTCGATATCTGTGTCCTTGATTTGAGTGAAAGATGTCTGACAAAACGTCTGTTTAGAACTGTACGTCTTTCAGCACCAAGGACAGCGTATAGTACACAATTTCTTTTTTGTAGCACACAATTGCCAGAGACACACGTCAAAAATCAGAGGCACCTACTTATTCATGCGAATTTTATTTTATTAAACACTAGCAAACTTCATTTGAAACATCTATGGGGGAACATCATACGAGTGTCTTCAAAATCACACAGAGTCTTTGTAAAACACACGAACTGAGAGGAGAAAATCTTACATCGCGAAGAACAAATAACAGGGCGTTCGTTCTACGCGGGAGATTGTGGATCAAAGCGCGCCGACACTAATGCAGACCTAAGACATGTAACAGTACCGGCATGACGTCTTTCAAAACACAAGAATTTCAGCAAAGATTGTATTTACGAAGAAAGCCTATTTCTTCTCAGGATGTGCCTCAATGCTGCAATTAGTTTCTAAGCGACCGTACCGAAGGCGTTTTTACGTTCGCACGGCTTATTGGACGGTTTTCATTTGGATCGCAGCGGATTTCTGCTTCAATAGGATTCTGACATGTGCGTGGGAGGGCAGCAGGCCACCGCTGAGAGCATACATCGCACGGCAAGTGCCGCAGATAATAAAGAACGACTTATTTAACATCTTGTGTGTTATTGAGTGAAGGAGGTCAGTGACCCATGAAAAAAAAAAAAAACAGGGTAGTGCGTGGACAAGTCCGTAAACAGGATAGTGGGTGTAGGCAGGTTGGCAGCTGTATCTCACGATCGTTTTGCTGGATTCGGATGTTTTTTGGCCTGATTTGTGTTTTGCTATTCAGTGAAGGAGACCAGTGACCTCTTATTGAGGAAAAAACAGGGTAGTTGCTTAACAAGTCCGTAAGTAGGCAGCTGTATCTTGCGATCGCTTTGCTGGATTTGTATGCAGTTTGGTATGTCGTCTGCTAGTGTGTGCGGGATGATGCATGCTGTTTTTTTAACTATTGGAGAAATTTTGATAGCTTTATAGAATTGTGGCATCTAGTGCAACTTTTAGGTCTTGGAAACCAGATTTGTCAAAGTCTATATTCTAGTCACTTATCTATACTGAATTGAAACATCACTGTCCTAATGCATATCGACATTCATGGCACAAAAATGCCAAAGATTCTAGTAACATGGATGCAGCAAAGGTGGCGGCTTGCAATTGAACTTATTACTTGGCCATGATAAATGGAAAGTGGGATGGGAGGGGTGTTATCTTTCTCACCACAGATCTGTGCAGATGCGTGACGCGATATGCTGATGCAGACACCGACTGGCGGGAGGGATTGTATGTGTCCATATATGGTCATGGTCAGAGCAAGGAGCTTGGTTCAACGAACCCCCTATTCTTTTCAAGTGTGGTCGGATCTGTGTATTTCTCTCTCCCTCTAGTTCTCTCTAGTTCTCTCCCCCTCTTTCTCTCCTTTTCCCTAGCTCTTTCTCTCTCCTCTCTTTCTCCCTCCCTCTCCTTTTCTTCTAGCTCTCTCTCCCTCTATGTCTCTCACCCTCTCTCTCTCCTCTCTTTCTCTACCTCTGTATCTCTCTTACCCTCCCCCTCTCTCCCCCTCTCTCCTTCCTTCTCTCTCTCGCTCTCTGTATCTCTCTCACCCTCCATTTTTCTTTCTCTCTCTCTCTGTCTCTCTGTCTCCCTCTCTCTTTCTCTCTGCATGGTTTTGTCTTCGGACAGTCTCTATGCGAAAGACACCCAGGTTTATATAATATCCTCCTGTATTTATATAAACGCAACACTTCGTACACTCTCCGGGCGATCATGCGGTGTCGAAGGCTCCCGAAGATTCCCGAGCATCCCACGAGGCGCTCCGAACATTTCCGAAGACCAAAAAGCCTAGTTCCGAGCGCGGCCGACGAGACGGCCTGGGGGCGTTGTCGCGCAAAGGCCCTCGGGACTTATTACCTGCGGACCGGTTTGTATAGTGGTCATTATAAGAAAGAGAAGCGGGCCCTTTGGGAATTTATAGTCGCGGTTGTGCAACACAGGCGTTGGTTAGCACGTCCAGTCATGACAAGCCGACCTGTGTGTGTGAGCTGGGTTCCCCTTTTCAGTGCTAATCTATGGATGCGCTTGACGGTTTTGAGGCGAGCGTTTGGGGAAGGTTTGCGTATACTGACAGGCGCGTGGGAGCACTAGTGTCGGACCAGTGATATCTGAAGTGAGTACGTTTTGAATGAAAGGGAAATTATTATGCAAACGTGACTCGTGCTCCGGTTACATAACATAATGTTTTGGCCAGCATGACTTATGTTACAGCAGCAGGTGAGACAACTGTTTGTAGTCTATCGCTCTTGCGCGTGAATCTCTTGCAGCCTTCAGATAAATGTGTTTTACTGCAGTTTTTTTTTAATCTATGTCAGCTCTCACTCAGCATTAGCAGCTGGACTGCCTTAGTAGACAGAACGTTGTCAAAGTTTTGCGCTGAGGAAAGAATTAACTTCACGTTTGAATCTTTGTCCGTCCCTGATCTTAGCGATCTCCCTTGGAAGACTGTTCCAGAGTTTAACAGTTGTTGGTACAAAAGTTCTCATATAATTGTTGGTATGGGAGACAGGGACCACCAGTGTTTTCTTGATGGAATTTTGACTAGTTTCCACCAACCTAACACGTACCGCGGGTTTTTAAACGGTAAGCCAAATATGGGGAAATTTCGTCTTGTAGCAGTGTTCTTGTGCAGAATTTGAACAAAATTTGTTTCTAGTGTTAAGGCCAGTTGGTTCTTGAACTTGCTTCATAGTACTAGTGATAGGTCTAGTGCAGCAGTGTTATGGGTCAGTAACTTACAGCAATAAGGTTTCAACCTTCTTGCGTAAAGTAGGTAAGGCTTCTGAGAAACGGACATCCTTCAGTTCTTCAGTTGCATAACATTCAGTTACATAACAGTCAGACATAACACGCTGAATATCACACTGAATATCATGGCATTTATGATAGCAAGACCTCTGCGGCTTTTGCCTGCACAGGTCAATCCGGTAGCTTCTGTACGGGTGTTAGTGGAGCATTCAAGTTCTAAATCCGCGCGTTAAGTAAGTATGTGAACAGCTTTAGAGAAAGGGCAATTTTACAAAGGCGATGGGCGCCTCGGTTATGCAACAGGCTTGTTTAAATGTCATGATTTTTGGCCGTCGTTTTATTTCATGACGTCGCCTATAGCCCGTGCGTTTCATACCGTATATCCATGTGGTGGCTTCGGGACTAGTCTTCAGCAGACTAATTTATATTTTTTTATTTATGTTTACGGATTTGTAGAGGAAGCGTAAAGATATAAAATATGTTTACGTCGTATTTATCGCACTGAATGGTTACGGAAAGGCGGAACTTGCCTTTCAGCAGCCTTTACGAAGTCTACTGGAATATTTTCTCACCTTTAATACTTCTTCACACATTGCGGAAAGTTTGCTTAAATACTTGTTTTCGTGCTGTGTAACAACGCTAGCGCTTGCCTCGACGATATCAGTATGCTTTGAGATGGGCTTGATTCAACATACTACATGAAAAAAAAATCTTCAGAAAATTGACTTTGAAAATCCAGTTGTTACTGCCCTGAAATCGCGTTGGATGCGTTTAAAAGTATTCAGCCGTTAGCCTATCATCTATCTGTTTCTATCGTGCGTCCGCTTTTTAAACGGTCGCAACCTTTGTCGGCTTTTACCTTTTAACCAGAGCGTTTCCATTGACCAAAGTAGCGGTAGCCTCACCAAATCAGTACTCCAAGCGCCCTAACCGCCCCCTCACAGCCAAAGGTTGTGTAACACATACAGGTTAGGCCACAATGATTTAATTTTATGGATGGATGATATCCCCACGCGGACACAATGTTAATTGTATTCTGTTGTGTGGCACTGTTAAAATAAGTTATAAACTTGAGTGCAGCGCCACACAGTCCTTGTTACTATATTGTTGTGTATTGATGAATACCAAAAAAAAAAAACATCCGCAAGAGCATTGATTTTTGTTTGTTCTAAAGAAACCTCCTCCGAGGATTTTGCCTGGATGCCATCCTCCGTAGTCCATGTGTAGTACACGTAGCTAGCGACAATAGGGAGCCGGTTGTAACTACGTAGGATGGCACCCAGGCTGCCAAAGCTCCACGACTCAAGAACTCAATACATTACCGACAAATGAATTCCGCAAAAGTCGCTATTTACTACCGCAAATTCACAATATACCAGCTTATATTCCTGTGGTTTAGCGTAATTTTTTGGCTATAATATTTTTATAGGCCCGCGCGCACTAGTTTGGGGCCGTCAGAGGATGCCATCCATAAAATTACGTCAGTGTGGCCTTAGAGTAGCACCCGACAGACAGTAAGTTGACTTTTGGACTTTGATGGGTCAAAAAGGTCACATTTTAAAAACGAGGTCGATATTTGCCGCCATATTAACCACCTGCGGACGGATGCCAAACGTTGTCTGATAAAAAACACGAGACGTGTGCTCGGCTGGTTTTAACCTTTATGCCTTGTTGGTCTCTGCGTATATCGCTGGTGGGAAGAGAATGGCTCACACTGTCGGGTAAGGTAGGTGGGACACGTTTGATTAGATAGGGAAGATTCCTCCTGCAGTTTACGATGTTTTAACGTTGTTTGTTTTATTACGCACATGTGTGATGACCCTTTGTTATTACCGTATGTTTTAAAATAACATGTATTGTATGTCGAGTACGTATCTTGTTAAGGTACAGTAGATGTATTTATTTACTTATTATTTATTGGTGTGGCTACATGTATGGTATAGGTTCCGAAACATAATTGGCCCTGAGTTGCCATGTCACTTTCTACTCCCTAGTCTGCATAGGTTCATTATCTGTTTTTTAATCAATATTAGACCAATGACAATGCGGCGTTATACACAAGTCACAACAGATTTCATAACGCCACACACACAAATAACAACAATATCAGATTGATTAATATCTGGTTTATTTCTGTGTAATAACAGGTCTCCAGTTGCCTTGTCACGTCTACAAATTTCAATCCTTCCACAAATGTGGTAAATCTTCATAAATTTTTAAGTCACAGTTCGGGGGTTGTCTGAGGTCCTATGTCGAAAACAGATCATCCTGGCTGGAGAGAGATATCCTTAGCCACCGTGCCCCAGCTCTCCACATGAATGATTGCTTCTATTCTCTCGCTTCTATCCAATTTTCCGTGGAGAGAAACACCTGCAGAGGTTCCCCCGTAGCGTGTGGAGGCGAGGCGATATTTCCTGACAGGACGAGCTATAGAATCCATTACCCTCCTGAGTAGACTCTCCAAGCAGAGGTTTAGGCCTTGGACGTTGTTTTAGACGTGCCTTTAGGTGTTTTTATTGGGCTTTCTTTATTGTCCAAGTATCTTTCTTAAGCTTTTGCCAGTCATACGAGAGGCGTATCGGATTTCTGTCCTACCACTAGCTACATAATGTAACCCAACACCACACAGAGTGTCTGTCACAGCACCTGTTGCCATGGCGACAGATGTCTGATCCAGGTCATTGACCTTATGTGTTTGGAGAAGAGGACGAAGTAACGATATAACGTTACTTGTTGTCCCCGTATGTATAATTGTTAACTTGTGAATATCAGCCCAGCTGCCTGTAAATCACTCTAATGCACTGTTGCATTTGAAATGAATAGATAAGACGAAACAGAGCAAGAACAATATGTTTCAAAAGTTAACATAAAAAGCTCCCCGATAAGCCCAACCCGTAAGCTTGCTGAATACGCCCGAATCTCCTGACGGTTGGGTGAATGTCAGACGGGTTTGAAAGAGCCTCGCGTGTCCGTCCGCGTGCCACACCTGAACACCACCCGGGGCGCTTTCAGCCGCGCTCAGAGTAAAGACTCGCACTTGCTGCTGTATAAAATCTAGGCTGCGCCACAGATACATGCCAATGAGATCTACTATATATATTAACGTCCTTGTACGTACTAATGATTTGGGGCACAAAGCTAATTTTTAATATGCTGCCAGCAGCTGCCGTAATATCTGTAATGTATCCTTCCACTTAAGTAAATAGGATCATTATTTCCTGAATAATCTATCTTCTGTATTACTATTAGCTGGTTTCTGACAAAAGCATTTCCGCATGACGACAAAACAGCCATACTGGATGCATCTGAAAGAGTTAGAGAAATGAACCTCGAAGGTTACCAACACATCGGGCATATAAAATCTACTTGGCTTTGTGAGATGTGTGTATAAAATGCTTTTCGACAAGAGATAAGAGATAAGCTTAAGTGTAAGAAACCAGTGAGTAACAGCCAGTATTATTTCCCCTCACAGGTCAACAGAAGGAAGACCTTAAATGACCCTCTTGGACAAGAAATGCTTCTGTGAAAAAGAGAAGATCTACGCTTGATCAATTCCGAGCTTTGAATGTGTTCAAACTCCGGTGTATCAAAGAACACCATGGTTCGGTCGCCAATGTATGGTTGAACGGTACGACACTCCTGCCCATCTCTGGCCTCGGAAACTACACTTGGGCTCCGACCGACGAGGTACCAACCTTCGAAATCACCAACATGGCGATCTCTACAGAAGTCCCCAGCACCATGAGTGTGGCACCAACGAGTGACAACACCACCACAAGCGTTGATGTTGTCTTCCCCGCGCTAGGCATGGATCGTTCCTCGGCACAGATCGTCATAGAAACGGTAACCCTGGTTTGTTTGTTTGTTTGTTTGTTTATTGTTTATTATTGAGATCTCAATTAGTATGGTAAATTCCATATTCCTGGGTCCAGCAAAATAAAATAAGATAATAATAATAATTACTTTTAAGAGTAATGATAATAAATAAAACATACAAAATTATGCTGAAATTATTACAAACTTGAAACAAAATCAGCATAGAGAAATAAAAGTGCATTTGAGGTCAGAGGTCAAATAATAGGAATAATGAAAAGTTTATTGCAAATTCATTCCCGGAGGCTAATTGCAAATTACAAAACATAAAAGAACAATGAAATAGAGTATAAAATAACTAAAAGTCTACATGATAAAGGTAGCTGTCTAGAACTGTATGTCTGAAATGAAAGTAATAATTGATGTACTTGTCCAATCAATGGGAAATTGAAGTAAAAAAACAGTTAACAAATACATGTATTTGAACAGGTAACGCTGGTGCTGCTGTGGGTGGCCTCCGTGCTTGGTAACGTGCTCGTGTGTATAGTCGTGTACCGAAGCCGCCGGCTGCAGTCCACCACCAACTACTTCGTGGTGTCTCTGGCGTGCAGCGATCTCCTGGTCGCCTTCCTGTGCATGCCTTTCGTGCTGGGACGCGTGGTGTCCAACCGCTGGGTGTTCGGCGGGCCGATGTGCAGCTTCGTCCGGTTTGTCCAGTTCACCTGCCCTGGAGCGACCGTGTACGTGCTCCTGTCCATCGCCATAGACCGGTTCTACACCATCATCTACCCGCTCAGCTTCAAGGTCTGTTTTAATGAAGCTTTATTGCGTATTCTGTTATTTAAACCTTCTGAACATAAAAGTTGAATTGTCACAAGTTGTTTTTACAATGTACGGGACATGTAATTCAGCCTTCCGGCTGTGAAATAAAACCCATATTATTATTATTATTATTGTTCCTGTCCAGATGGACGAAATGCACATGTGACCGTATGTGGTCTACAGCAGTTCAACACTAACAATACTACATCATAATGCTAGATGTCAAAATTCTATCCGTCCTGAAACGTCTGACCGTTTCCAAAATCATATCCAGTTGCTTGAGTAACTGTTTTTGGTGTATCTTATTACTAATACCTGGATGTCTAACCTTCACCGACAAACTATTCATTCATTCATTCATTCATTTCAGGTCTCTCGGACGAAGGCGAAGCAGATGATCGTGCTGGCTTGGCTCTTCTCCGCGCTTCTGGCGTCGCCGTGTTTCTACTTCTTCCAGACGGAGGCCGTGGTGGACAAGACGCTCTGCCCGACCTACTACCCTGGGGACTGGCGGGGAGCGCTGTACGTATCTGTATCGGTATCTAGTTGTAAGCTATCTAATGACAATGCCCCTACTGTACTTGGTGACAGCGATGTTTACACTCTGTGATAGTTCTAGCAAAGATTGTGAATGAATTTTTGGGCACCTCAATTCTTGGTTGATAACTTTGGTACTTGAAGGCGTGTTGGTAGTTACATATTTAGAGTTAAAACTTATTTCGATCCAACACAAAAATTCTCTCACCTAGAGCTATATACATCATGGCCCATCTCCCTTCACTGAACCGCGACGGGGGCCGACATCGTCTACCAGATACCTTTGACCCAGTGTTGACGTGACAAGCCTCACTGGGTCAGTATACTGAGGAAGACCAGAGTGTCTGGTCGAAAGCTCTATGTGAGAGAATTTTTTGTGTTGGATCGAAAGTTTTAACTCTAAACATGACTATTTCTTGTTCCCTCCTGGACCGGTATTAGGTACGTAACGGCTGTGTTCTGTGTGGACTACCTGGTGCCCATCGCCCTGATCATCCTGCTCTACACGCGGGTCGTCAAACACATCTGGACCATCGGGGTCGGGGGAAGGAAGCTGCAGCGGACCAAGAACACCGTTCCCGCCACAAAGGTAGCCGTTAGTCTCCACCAGACTCCTTTTGAATGCTGAATAGATAGTAGAAATGGGCCTAAAATGGGATTTAATTGGCCAGCGGAGTTGTCCGGCCAGAGAGGGTCCGTTTGCCTGCGACTTCTCACAGACTCCGTGCAGGAAAATAGACCCTCTTTGGCATGTTCACGGAACTATATGTTCACGGTGGCGACAGGCAATATGCGAATACGAATGTGATGTGTAAATGCGGTTCTGTAATGTGTAAATATTTTTAATGTCAGAAGCAACTCCTACAATGTACATCTATGTACTAACGCAATTCAGCCTTCAGCTGCAATGTTCATGATTGATCAGTAAACCATTTTTAATTGATAGTAAAATGTTGAGCTTTATTCCAGCACACAGGTTAAACAGACGTAAAATTGTCAGTGACCACTGTCGCCTTCATCAGGATAAGTAATGCCCAATCACTTCAAAACTTAATCTCGCGAGAGTTACGGTCACAGACACGCGACCTTATTCACTTATCAGAGACGGTGGACGATATAAACTACACTGGCACTTTTGATCAATTGCTTACGTTAAGTATCAGTAAGGTCTCGTGTAAAAAGGGTCACGTGTCTGTAACCGTAACTCTCGCAAGGTTACGTTTTGGTCATTCATTATCCTGATGAAGGCGACAGTTGTCGCTGAAAATTTGATCTCTGTTAAACCAGTGTGTTGGAATAAAGTTCAGCATTTTATTATAATGATTACTACCAACACAGATGAACTTTCATGACATTTTTGATTGATCTGATTGATTGAAGGTGAAGACCATCAAGATGCTGCTTGTGGTGAACGCCGTGTACCTGATCACGTGGTCGCCCTTCTTCCTGCTGCACCTGGGTCACGTGATCTCCTCGGCGGTCCGCAGCAGTGCGCACGCGCGGGTGGATGACGCGGACCCCACGTGGTTCGTTGCTATGGTTTGGATCGGCTTCTCCTCCTCCGTCTCCAACCCGCTCATCTACTGGGTCTGCAACCCGAACTTCCGCAGGGGATGCCGGGAGATATTCTGCATGTCGAACATGAAATGCTACCGGAGCAACACTTACGCCATCACCTACACCACGCCGTTCGGCAAGAGGAATCACGTGGGCTTCGCCCTGGATTCGAACGTTACCGGGGCAACGGCCGGGCGTGGGGCGGCGGCCGGCAACGCCGCCGAGTCTGCGCAGCCGCAGAACGGTCACGTGACCGCCTCGTTCGATAGAGAGGCTAAGCGGGAGAAGAAGATCGCCTGGCCGCTGGTGTCGAACGGCGCCAATACTTACTTGTGAGATATTCCATGAATACACGAATCAAAGACATACTACTTAGTATTTGATTGAAAAGTTTATGACGGTCAAAAGAAAACCTGTTTTTCTGTCCGCTCGCCTTCGATGATGATCTATCAAATGGCGCCAATACTTACTTGTGAATGATGCCATATCCATAATGTTGCATCTAAGAAAGACTTTTACATTGAAAAGTTTAAGACGGTTAAAAGAAAACCTGTTTTTCTGTTCGCTCGCCTTCGATGATGATTTGTCAGCTCAGAGTATGTTCTAACTGATCTTTCAAATGCAGAGCCAAGACTTACTTGTGAAGGATGCCATATCCATAATGTTGCATAATATTATAAGAAAGACGGTCAAACGAACACCTGTTTCGATGATAAACTGTCAGCTCAGAATATGTTCTAACTGCTCTTTCAAATGCTTATGTTATACTTACTTGTAAAACTTAGTTAATACTTACTTGTAAAACATTCCATAATTTATTCAATGAAAGACTTTCACATTGAAAAGTTTAAGGCAATGGAAAGGAAAAAATCTATTCTTTTTTTCCATCCGCTTGCTTTTGATGATGATCTGTGAGATCAGAATATGTTCCAACTATTTTTAATTCGATTGCAGGGAAGCTTTGACCATTCTAAAAATAGCCAAACGTCTTTGCGATCAACAAAATGTTTGCTTTCGCTTGACGCAATATCTGACGTCACCCGTGAAAAGGTATCATTTTCTTTTGGGACTTGAAGACATTCCTTTCATGTTGGCCAACCAGACAATTACGTCATCTAAAAGTAGCGAAAAATGTAATTTTCTGTAATATTGAAAAGCTGGCCTTTTGGTTTATTCACTTGGTTTTAGGGAATGTCGTGCCACAATCATTATTTAACCCATTCCAACCAAAATGTTGTTTGGAATCAAACCTGAGCTCGTACAAGAAACTATTTTGTGTGTGACCGAAATGCGGACACGAGAAAATATGCCATGGAACAACACCAACAAAAGTGTTGATATGTGCTTTAAAGGACAACGTGCTTTGTAGAAAATGTACCACAGACATTTTGTACGGAGTATTTAGGATATATTGTCCATGCGAAGAGTCAGAGATGTATTGTTATATGCCCGTATACATATCTATATCGTCAGGAAGATTTCTTGTTGATGTGTCAAGTGGGGTGCGAAAGCTATTTGTCAAACTGTGGAAATCATCTTGAAGTTTTTAACTGTACACTGTTGTTGCCAAAGTTGCCATCGTGAGTCTAAGTAAACTATTGTGTATATTGTAATACACAAGCTGCATTTTGATGTACGAAAAGAGGTAAAAAAAGGTATCGTTGTATATTTTGACAAAAATCGTAAATATGACTTCTGCAGTCACAGTGGTCGATTTTATACGTGTAGCTTCTGATATGAATCTAGAAGTTCCGTTTTGTACGTTTGTAGAAGCTATGGAAACTACGTATGTAGAATTATCCTGAGTGCGACTCGTTTGATACGTTTATAATAGCGCGTGACGTCATAGAACGTGACGTCATAAACATTGGTGGTGTAGATCCAATATGGCCGCCAGTCATGATCATTTGGAACGAACAACTCCAAAATGGATATTTCCATTTTAGTGCTATTTCTAAGTTAGCAGTGGCAAAAAAGCCCTGACATGTTGGGGCAACGAATCGAAAAACCACCATCTGATCGGCAGAAAACTAATATTATTTCAAAATATTATGATTAGAAAATTGAAAATTAGATGGCAATCATTGTGTTTGACATGGAACATCGACAAACGGGTTTTGCACTTATGAAAACTTTTCTGATAGACGTCTAACAAAATTAACATCACTTCAGTGAAAAAACACAATGTCCATTGCGAGATGGCCCCAGAAGTGCCAAAAGTGCAATATTATTTTTGAGAGAGTGTTATGTAGGTAAGAGAGATATATCATGAGAAGAGACACATTCCATGCCATTTAGAGCTCGAAAACATTCCCAGTAAAGCCGAGGTTATTCTGAAGTGAAGTATCGTCTTGGTTGTATTTTGTTACGATAATGTGAAAACAATAGTCTCCACCAGACTCCTTTGCAGGCTGAATAAATAGTAGAAATCGGCTAAGGGGAACATCATTGGCCAGAGGAGTTGGCCGGGCTTAGAGGGTCCAGCAAGCTATTTATTCAGCAAACTATTTATTCAGCCTGCAAAGGAGTCTGGTGGAGACTATGAAAACAACACCAGACATGCCAAATGTTGCATCGAAGCCATAGGTAATAAAATGTACTCGTGAAATAATTATTTTGTTTTAATTGAGTGAAGTTTTTAGAGTTCTAAATATTATAAACGTAGATTTGGTCTATCGTATCTCCGTTGCTTCTTTACAGGGTTGGACAAGTTTTCAAAAATCCACTTGCCTTATCGGGCAAGTACATGGTCATTTCCACTTACCCGAACCAACTTTTCACTTGCCCAAAATATGACACATTTCTAAGCATTTTACTAGCAGAAAGAGTTTATAATGTTGGATGCTTTATTCATCAAAATTGTTTAAAACTTGGTTGAAATACTGCAGGGGCTAATACTTTGCATCCAAAAAATGTACTTGCCCAATCAGGCAAGTACTGGGGGATATTTACTTGCCCGAACAGTGCTTTTACTTGCCCTGGGCAAGTGGGCAATGGGACTTGTCCAACCCTGCTTTATCAATTCTATTGCTTTGTATATCATAGGAAAACCTTTATAATTGGGGGTGATCCATTTCGTATGATTGTTTGTGAGACGAGCACAAGGCTTAGGGCTGGTTATGTGGGTCTCAAAAAAATAAATAAGTGTGGAATAGTTTGGATTTGCAATTCTGTACGCTTCGATCTATCTTTTACGGTCTGGAATACCAGGTACTAGTATACTAAAACCCCCTTTCCTAGCCCATCAGATGGCGTGTACCCGAACACCCCGCGCGAGCCTCCCAGAATCTCCCCCAGTCGAACATCTGCGGGATGAGGTTGAGCAGGAAGTGAGCTGACGGTAGGCCGGTATCAAATTTCCGTCGCCATGGCAACAGAACCTGGGATGACGCAACCGTTACCATGCCAACGGAGCGAAACCCGGGGGGAGAGGAGCAAAAGCCGGCGAAACGTTTTATCATTCCTCCATCTCCGTTTCATATAGCGGCAGGCCCTACGGGCGGTTGGAGTCATAAAAGAGCCGGCTTTACTTGTTTACGAAATCTTATTTTCTGCTCACTGCCGCTTTTCTTTAACATCTCCGTGTCGGAAAACGTTGTAGAAAAATCGTAGCCTCTACCAGGCTTGAGGAGGCGGCTGGAAAGAGTAGAAATCGGCCAAAATAGAGAAATAAGCATGCCAAGGGAGTTTGGCCGTTGAGAGAACAGTTCGCCGCCGGCCAAACTCCCTTGCCATGCTTATCTCTCTATTATGGCCGATTTCTACTCTTTCCAGTCGCCTCCTCAAGCCTGGTAGAGGCTAGAAAAATCGAGCTAGGATAAATTGTATGGATCGGGCTTGGTTTTGCACAGAGGTTTTTTTTGGCCACACAAACTAAATTAAAGCTTGCTTCATTCTTGGTGGGTTCTCAAATGAAAATGTACATTTATCCACCACCCACTTCAGAATCTGTAAAACCTAGGTTTGCACGTCCTTGGTGTGAACGTTTTTAATGAAGGCGAATTTTACTAATTTTACTTTTCATCTTCTTATTATTATTACTTTCGTCAAACCCACAATAATATCTTATTTTACTATTATTTGTGTTTCCTGTCATAGAGCTTACCTGAAGCCTGCTCACCCAGCGGAAAACGTGATCACCCAGATGAAAAAAAAATGCAAAACCCGGGAAAAGGCGAGAAAAACAATCCACAGGACTGACTTTCATCTGCCAGATGATTACCAAACGGCACGAATCGCAGTAAAATGTCTGGAGGCGACGCCTTTCATCTGTTACTGCAGAAAAACAATCAGGAAATCTGACGGATGTCCAAACATCTAGGCTACCAGGAACCGTTATGAAATGACCCCCCCCCCCTCCAAGAAAAAAAGGAAAAAAAAACTAGCCTCTACCAGGCTTCAGGAGGTGGCCGGATACAGTGGAAATTGGCCAAATAGAGAGATAACAACCCAGGGGAGTTGGTCCGCTAGAGACAAGGCATTTGATCTCAAACCTCCTTGTGTCTCTAGACAGTACATTTTGCAGCAAACTGCACTCTCTAGCGGACCAACCTCCCAGGCATGTTATCTCTCTATTTGGCCAATTTCTACTTTTTCCAGCTGCCCCACGAAGCCTGGTAGAGGCTAAAAAAACACAAACCGACAAACATCAGTGGCAAATAAATTGACCAGGGACTATCAACTGACGATGATCAACTCATGGTGTGTTTATTTGTCCATGTTGTGAGATCGCAGTTGTAGATTGTTTCCACCTACATGTACAATGTAGGTGACTACATTGTAAGCATTGCCCATTGTATGTATATGGTACATATGACAAGTAAACCAACAAACCTATATATAAGAACTGGTCATGAGTGTTTCAAAATGAAGACACGGGTACAGCCGAGTGTGGTTTTAATAAAAACATGTCAAAGACATCATGTTTTTTTCCCACTGTAGTGTAACACCTACATGTAACACAAGACAAACGTGTCTCAATACAAGAGTCAAGATGGAAGCCAGCTGTGAAATGTCCAATCCCCCGGGCCGACAGATGATCACGATGAATACATCATAAATGTAAACGCCCAAAAAAGGCTGATGCTCCTGTCCATTCCTAATTTGGCATCACGTATTGACCAATCAGGATTAAGAAAAGATACCGAGCTACCACAGTACAGTCAGCCCACTGATCAAAAGCACCCCCTACAGACTGTTTTTAAAACTGCAACATCACAACTGCAATAATCTCCTTCATCAGTAGATGTCGCTTTTGCCAAACTTGACCATATAATAAAAAAAATAAAGATTCTAACATATTGCCACTTCTGTGGTCACATAAAACATTGCAACAGTAAAAAAACAGGAGAACAAGGCTACTCTAAAATCTGTTTACAGTTAAAACTTTTGGTCCAACACAAAAAAACTCTCACCTAGAGCTTGACCCAGTGTTAACGTCACACTTCAAAGAAGCCACTTGACAAGCTTCACTGGGTCAGTCTACTGAGGAAGACCAGAGTGACTGGTCAAAAGCTCTAGGTGAGAGAATTTTTTGTGTTGGACCAAAAGTTTTAACTTTAAACATGTAACTACCAACACAGATGAACTTTCATGATACTCTAAAATCTGTTAGTGAACATTGAACAGAACCATTACCTAAACTACATTTAGTTTAAAACTTTTGGGGTTAGTCTTTAAAACGTTTCTCAAAGCAGAGGTCCAAGGAAGGAATCCAGACTTGGCTGCCAGAAAACAGGCCCCGTGCTTTAAGAGTTGGTGCCCTGCTGAGCTCTGGTCAGCAACTCTTCCAGCTCTTCATGAAGCTGAAACAAAAAAAGCAATCCATATTTTGTCCTGAAAGTTCATGATATTTACATGACATTGTTTAAACTTTTGTTCCAACATAAGAAACAGTTCTTACTTAAAGCTTTCAACCATTTACTCTGTATTTATTACACGTACATTGTACATGTATCTATTTGTATCATATACACCTGAACCATATATCTATCATATTCATTGTATGAGTCTATCTATATTCTACATACAAAATATTTACAGTATATAAAGGTGAGGAGTTCTTCTCACATGAGTAAATGTGACAAAAACATACATCTGAGATCCACTCTAACAGAAACTTTCCTCTTAGTAACAAACCCTTGTGTAAGACTAACTCTGACAAAAAATTTCAGTGTGCGACCCATCCTTTCAAAAACATTCGTCTCATAGTAACAACAACTTTGGTGTGAGACTGACTCTGACCAGAACTTACCTCGGAGACCCAGCCCCTGTCCAAGAGAACACGCTTGCAGGTCTCGTCATCAGAGCTCATCTCGTGGGACCTTCGCACGGCCGTGACCTGAGGGATGAAGGAATCACAGCTTTAAATTCATGCATTTTCATAGGGGCTTAAGTTTGTGATAGAAGAGGAGAGAGATAGAAGCTTGCAATGTGTTCTAAGTATGTGGTTAAATTCTGTACTACAGTAGAATTACATTTAAAATTACATTTTCACGGTGTCATGAATTCACAGAGGACAGGTCACTGCAAAAAGACCAAAAAAAAAGCAACAAACAACACCCTAAACAGTTCAAATTTTCCAGTTCTCCACTATTTCAGATTCTGACACTTCACAGGACAACCTTACATCACACTGCATGATTTTGAAAACACAAATATATTGAGATTGGAAAATTTTGAGAAACAAACATCCAGTGAGTCCCACCTTGTTCTCACACTTCCTGAAGAGCCTGTATTTGTAGTGGTGGAGCTGGTGGAACGTCTGGGTGTGGTCAGCACAGAACTGGCAGACTGATGACACCTGGAACATAAACATGCCAGCATGTAGAGTACATGTGTCTCCATTACACTGCAGGTAACAACTGTTTTGACTGTGAACTTGGTTATAGTTGCTTAAGATTTACTGTGTATTGTAGTACTTGAGTACAGGCTCAGTATATTCTGCTCAGTGCATTCTGCCTTTGCTGGCAGCCCTGGCTATGAGTGCTGAACAGCCAAACTGAGAAGCAAGTACCTTGCTGCCCTTTTCCCCCGGCCACTCCCTCAGTGTGGACCTGCTGTAGGCACGGCCGCGCAGGTTTAGGGTTTGGGTTGCTGTACGGTCACTCAAACACGCCTGCAAAAATCACAACACTGGCTTACTGGGAAACTATGAACTTTTTTGTGAACAAAACTAAATTTTAATTAAGATATGTGTGATGATGCACACTTTACACACCCCTACATTTCAACATAGGAAAAAGGTTGTTGTAACTTAGATTGAGTTGTCGGAACACGCACACACACACACATGTGCACACACACAGACACACACACATGTGCACACACACGTGCACACACACACGAAACACACACACACACACACACTCCCCATGACACACACACACTCAGGGACACTAACCCACCTGACATGTCTGGTTCCCCAGAGTGTTGTTGGACCATGTATTGATGTAGGGATACTTCTCCACAGCTGCCTACAGAAATTAACAACACATTTTTCTTAAAAGCACATTCCAGTACATGTCATACTGTCATAGAATCTTTGAAACAAAGAAAATATCTTCAGTTGGAAACATGGCTATGATAAACAGCCAGGAGAAAGAATACAGGATCATAAGTACATTGAAAATCATTATGTTAAATTATTGCATAAATTCATCCTAAGTGACAACTGCAACATAACCTTGCCACTGACCTTGAACTCTGGGTCAAAGGTCACGCTCTGCATGACCCGATCTTTGCCCTCCCTGACCTTTGTTTCCACAGCCTCGATGGCCATCAGGAAATACATGTCTGGGGACAACGACAAAATTTTCCACGTTGTGTTCATTATGAAATCTACGTGGTCATGAGGGTTGAGCAAATGGCACAGAATATGGTTTGGCGAATAATCTAGTCTTCAAGTTCATTTCTTTACAATTTCGTCTTTTTTCGTTTGATTTTGGCATTCTACGACATTGGTATAGTTTTTATAAATTTTTTTGTAACTAATGGTATATTTTTGCTCATTTTGCAACTGTTTTGTACGATTTACAGTATGGTTGAAAACTTCTTTTTTTTTTTGAAACGGCCGAAAATTCATGCGCGCGCGGATGTCATCCATATAATCTAATCAACATGGCCTAAGGAGTGACAAAATGTTGTGCCATTACACAGGGCTCGAAATCCTGATTTCTTAATATATGCACTTTTCTGCACTAAGAAGCTGTGAACCTAATTTATTATGAGTCCACCAACAGAAAAGCGGAGACGCGGTCGCCCTTCTTTAACTCTGAAGAAGGTGATAGAGGGGGACATAGGGCTGGGCGGTGCTGAACTGTCCTCTGTCATGCGCGACAGGAACTTGTGGAGGCAGTACATCGTGTCACCTGATTGAAGGATGAACTGAACTGAAACTGAACTGGTCTGTACTACATACCATACACTTCAGTGAAGGTAAACAGATGCACCAAAAAAACAGTTACTCGAGCAACTGGATATGATTTTGGAAACGGTCAGTTGCTTGAGTAACTGTTTTTTGGTGTAGATACTATATATTTGTGTATGCACAGGGAAACCAGGAAATGGCTTTTAGCCTATGTACAGCATCCAACAAATTAAAAAAGCAGATCTTTGTCAGGCTGTACAGATTTTGTCCTACTTAGTAACTCACCTCCATCTTCTTCAACTTCATCCAGGAAGCTCGGATCCAGCGCGTAGCTGATCAGGGTCTGCAGGTAGACGAGGAACGTCTGCCTGCTCACCCCCCACGTCCGACATGGACTCTCCCGGTCCCCAGACCCCCTGAAGCAGGCGGTGGAGGTGCTCGTGACAGTTGGAGGAGAAGCAGTGTTGGACTGTCCCGCTCCCGGGTCACCTGAGGTCGACGGTGTCTCGGCGAAACTGGCTGAAGACTCCACCTCAGAATTGGTTGCTGCTGCCTCATGGTCTTTCCTGGCTGCTTCTGTAGAATATTTTGTTTCTTTACTGAATTTTCAGACTGCTGGGTGGCCCATAGACTGGGTGCCAACCTATTTGCATGCCAGGGCTCCCATACTTGCTCCCTAAAAAATATTTTTTAAGGAGTGAGTATGGGAGCCCCGGCATACAAATGCCGATAGGATGGCAACTAGCCTAGGTGGCCCATTCATTTCTGACAAGTTGATTTTCAATGGGGTGCAGACTCTAAAAAAACATTAAAATCTTCTTCAGTTATAGTGTAGCATGAATACAATTGGTTTCAATTAGGACTCCTTGTTGATAAATAGCGAGCAAACATCTTCTGTGATGCATCATCACATTCTGATGTCTCAGCTATAGCCATTTCCCAGCACTCACTCACTCATTATCCAGGATAGCCCATTTGTGTTAAAACAATACTAACAAAGACTAAAAAGTGTAAAAGCATTTGGTTAGTGAGTTTAGTGGTGCACAATCACATGGGTAAGACTACAAAGAGAGATAACTCAGTTCCCCAAAAAAAGATATTCTAGGTGCATGCACAAGTTACCTTTAGAAATAGAAATTTCTTATCACTGTCAAGAAGACATCTATCTTCTTACCCCTGCTGGGAGGGCCTCCAGTGGTTGCTTTATTGTTGTTGTCTGGTTTGTTCTGGCTTGTTGCAGAGGCCTCAGAAGAGCTGCGATGCCTGGAGCTGTGAGTAGAAACAGCAGAACTGTTTGGCTGTCTGCTGCTGCTGGCACTCGGAGGCCCGTTCCGTCTTGGCAGCGGCATCGCTGTTTGGGTTTTAGTAAAGAGACGATCATTTGTCTGTTTCACGTGTGACTGGATGCAGTACATTGACCAGTGCAGGATAGGTACATCTAGACATCTGAAATACCGATATTATCTGCCCTAACCTGCATGTGCTGGTGGTATTTCAAGCCCTGTAAAATGAATGAAACACACACACACCTACACACACGCAGACACGTGCACAAAACACACACAGACGTAGACGCACACACACTCAGACACACAGACACGGACACACACACAAACACACACACAATCACACACACACACACACACTCACACACACACAATCACACAAACGCATACACACACACACACAAACACACACACACACACACACATACACACACACACACGCACCTGTGACCTCCCCCGGCATCCACTTGACCTTCTGAATCAGCCGTGATTCTTGACCGTGACCGACCTGCTCCTTCGGCAGCCTTGTGACCTTGATTTGCAGATACCTTGGGTCGCCCCCTTTTGCCATTGAGCTGTACTGCAGGGGATAAATGAAAGGAATTTCCACCTCTAGCATTTGCGTGTATCTAAACAAATATCAGTAGCAGTAGTAGTAGACGGATTTAAGAGTTTTCATCAGCAAAAAGATATACATGCCTCCAAGCAGCCTTATTGGAGGGCTGAATTGGGAGGATATTCATAAAAGTAAGTCGATAAAATGATTATACATTAACAGTTTAACTGTTGTCATCATTTAGTACGCGACAGTAAAATGTACTTCTACATTAAAAATTCTAATAAACAATTGCATTGAATTTCAAAGATGATTTCCGAAACAATGAAGGATTTGATTACAAATCAGACTTACGTTAGGTATGGACACACAAGCAAAGAAACAGACAAACACACCAAAAACAAAACCTCTGTTCATGGAGGTAAGGCCCCACCGACTTAATTATATGGATGACATCTGCACGTGCATTGATTTTCGCCTGTTCTCAAAAAAAAAAATCACGTCCTCCGAGGCTTTTGCCTGGCTCTTGGCCTGGGGAGTTAGCGACAATATGGAGCCGGTGGTAACTCTCGAGGATGGCATCCACGCTACCGAAGCTCCACGACTCAAGACCTCAGCACATAAGTACAGTACCGATTCATGAATTCCGCATAAAGCCCGCATGTGCCGGCTTGTCATACACGTCGCTATGTACTGCCGCAAATTCACAATACCAGCTTTACATTCCTGTGGTTTAGTAGCATTTTTATTTTTGGCCTGAATTTTTTTCTTCGCCCGTGCACACTAGTTTGGGGGTCTTCAGAGGATCTCATCTATAAAATTAAGTCAGTGTGGCCTAACTACAGAGGCACTTACTGTGTTTGACCGGATGTAGTACCACTTCTCCTCCTCCCACTTGTAGGGATCGTATCGCTCCGGAGTAGACTCTACGTACTTATAGATGGGTGGGCTGGGCTGAAAATAATCATGGCAAGAAGTCCGTAAATACTATGATAAAAGTTCATCTGTGTTGGTAGTTACATGTTCAGAGTTAAAACCTTTGGTCCAACACAAAAAATTCTTTCACCTAGAGCTTTCGACCAGTCACTCTGGTCTTCCTCAGTAGACTGACCCAGTGAAGGTTGTCACGTGGCTTCTTTGAAGTGTGACGTCAACACTGGGTCAAAGGTATCTGAGGAAAACCAGAGTGACTGGTCGAAAGCTCTAGGTGAGAGAATTTTTTGTGTTGGATCAAAAGTTTTAACTCTAAACAAGTCCGTATATAGTTTCATCAGGTTGGTGAATGATTGAATTTCAAAGTCTTTATTCACAAACACTTATCTACACTGCACAGCTACAGTAAACCAGTCAGAATTGCCCTGATGAAGATGACAAACGGCCATTGAAACGTCGGCTCTTGTAAACAACACCGTGGTTGTGAAAGAAGTTTGATATTCAAGTGGCCAGAAGTGTTCTTCATTCAAAACAGGGACGTGGAAAGTCTATGGAAAGAATTCAACATTATAACCAGCACAAGAAAGGACTTTTTTGTCTGATCTTTCCTTATGACTCCAATGAAATGTGGCCGATTTTTTTAAATACCTAAAAGTATTTCGTAAATAAACAAAGGCTCATACAAACAAACAAACTGACTAACATTTTCATCTAGAATATTTTTCTCCACGATACCAGACCTAATTGCTTCGGCTGAAAACTTGTATGGCGAGTTCTACTTTTGTGTTGGATCATAGCACTACATATTTTACCAACTGAAGTATAACACAGACCCTTTATTTTATCAACATATAACATGCATACATGCATACTATTATTAGTCAACTGGTTACTGACTCTATCCAGTGCTTACCTTATTGATGTCTTCTTTTTTTATCAAAAATATCTCATCCTGAAAAAAAAGCTGTCAACACAGTTACAAAAAATGATTCTGCTGATTTATGTAGCCTTCAACTATAAGCAAATTGTTAAGAAATCAAATCCAGCAATAGCATTAGAAGTAGCATTCAGTAATACTACTTTATGCCTATTTTACTGTTCACTATTATTTTATCATTTCCAATGTTCTTACTAGTTAAGCCCCTGGGCCCTAGTGTGACTATATTCTTTTTTAAACCTGTAGGCTTGTATTTTTCGAACCCCGCTGATGGCATTTACATTTCAGTGTCTGTTTCTAAAACCTGTATTATTACTTTGTATAGCAAAAAATATTCAATTTGACAAAAAACTGTTCACATTTTCCAAACAATGATGATTTTTTTTCAGTATCTTGCAGGTGTTAGTTTGTAGTCGTATTATTGTTCCTTAGGCCACACCAAGTAAATTTTATGGATGACGTCCGCGCGCGCATTGATTTTGGCCTGTTCCTAGAAAAAAAACAAGAAATTCCGCTTCCTGTAACTATGACCAAAGAGTCATGATAGTGCCGCACATCGTTAGATTGACGTGAAACCCGTAACGCGAAATAGGTAAAGAGCAGGCCTGCAAAAATGTGATGAAACAGGACAGGACAACAACTGCTGTTCCACCTGATTTATTGCTGTTATGATGATGAATAAAAGACTTCTTGCGTGTTAATCTGTGTCACCTCATTCAATTTGTGTCCTAACATTTGTCGTCTCTTAGTATATTTCTAATCTAGGCATCTTGTTTTTAGGGCCCTTCTTGTTTTTTTTTTCGCCCTCTCGCATTAGATATAGGGTCTCCAAAGGACGTCATCCATAAAATTTACTTGGTGTGGCCTTACGTTACAGCAGCTTCTCTTGGACATCAGGTCCTCATCATCGCTGTTGACGCCCTCTGGTCGTGGGAAAACATCATGTGTGCCACTGGTGGCTGCTTGTTCCTACACAAGATAAAAACAAGTTTTGAGTTTTGATCCAGCACAAAGAAGTTCTCTCACCTAGAGCTTTCTACCAGTCACTCTGGCCTTCCTCATTACACTGACCCAGTGAGTCACGTGGCTTCTTTGAAGTGTGACGTCAACACTGGGTCAAAGGTATCTGGTAGATGATGTCGGTCCAAATTGCAGTTGAATGAAGGAAGACCAGAGTGACTTGTTGAAAGCTCTAGCTAAGAGCTGTTTCATAAGTCTTAACTCTAAACACGTAACTAACACCACAGATGAACCTGCATGATACATGTGTAAGTTAAGAACCAGCACAGAAAAGTTAAGGCACTTTTGAACACAGCAGACATTGGGATGAACTAACAGAGTTGAGCAAATATATGATCTCTTCTCTCATAACTTCAACGAAAAGAAGCTAGCAGGCCAAACTGAAAGTTTTTCATGAATAAACAAAGGCTTAATCAAACTAGCAATGAATAAATAAATAAACAAGCATTGTAACTTCCTTGTAAAGAAGAAACCTACATAGAAAATTGAATCTTGACTTTGAAAAAAGTAATTCAAGCTCCTTTGCATTACCTGTGTTTGGGCGGCGCTGCGGGATTTCTCTGAGACTTTTCGTGCCCTTCCAGGTTTGCGAGTGTCCGAGGGTGTGTTAGGGGGTTTCTGGTGCCCCAGATCAGGGAGTGTGTCCGAGGGTGTGTCAGGGGGTTCCTGGAAACAGCTATTGTCAATCTTCCTTCTTTGACGTTTCTGCTTTCCACGTTTCCCGGTCCTCTCGGTCTCCTCGACTTCCGGACTCGAGTCCTGGAAAAAGTCAGTACTCTTTTAAATGGGGCATTTGTATGTGGGTCTTGAAATGGGGCATTTGTGGGGTCGTGTGGCGCAGCGGTAGCGCGTTCGGCTGAGGTCCTAGAGGTTCCAGGTTCGATCTCCACCCATGTCACCAATCTTTCCTCACTTCACTCAGGTGTAAATGAGTACCTAGCTTCGGTTAGGGACGTCCCTCGGATAGGACGTTAAATGGAGGTCCCGTGTTTGGGGAGAGCCACACCCCACGCACGTTAAAGAACCCACCACACCTTTTGAAAAAGAGTAGGGGCATGCCCGGTGTGCGATGGTACAGATTCTACAATCCGGAGTCTAGCCAAGAATCGGCATGCCAGAATGATCAAGATAATGATCGTGGGCATTAAAGGAAAGACAAGTATGTGGGTCTTGAAAAAACTTCGTAGCCTGGTAACAAAATATATTATAGCTGCTGAGTCTCTTTTGAGAAGACAAAAGAGACTCTGCAGCTAAAATAGGTTTGAATACCAAGCTATGACATTTATATACAGTACTTAATTTTTGACTGTGAGAGCACCTAGACATTAGTGTAGCTTTAAGAACTATAACTTACATTATACACGATTGTCTAAGCAGTAGCAAAAGTTAAAAGGAAAGAAACAAAAGTAGAAAAAAGGAAGAACCTGTCTTTTCTGCCTGTTATGACTACGACCCTTCCCCAGTTTTCCTTTGTTTAAAGAGGAGGCAGCTTCAGGATTAGAGTCCTTACAGGCCTGGGCAGGTTTCAGTTGTCGCGGTTTGGTTTTCGTCAACATGTCCTGCAGAAGGTTCTCCACAGTCTGCGGTTCCTTCTCCTGCACAACAAACAAGTAAACAAACAATTATAATAAATAAGCATTGACAAGGTTTTGGAGATTTTCTTCTTACACAATCTGTACTATCTCGCCTGCTTACATTTGGATGTCTGTTAGACACCTTCCTCAGAGCTTCTGATTGAAGTTCTGCTTCTTGCCGCTTTAACCTGTAGCCAATTTGTAGGTGCCACTTTTGTGGCAAGAACACAATGTTCTAGTACGAGATAGTACAGGTTGTGTACAAGAAAATCCATGTATCCTATGTCCTACCAACCTGATGAAATATTTTCTGACTTCATAAAGGTCCTTGATTCACATTAGGTGTTACCAAAAAAACATCTATCAACCAAACTCATTGACGTTGTATATGTGTTTTTGTATGGGGAGGGGGGGGGGCAACTTGTAAAGGTCGGTATGCACCTGTTTTGCCCCCCCTTTCACTTTGTGAAAAATCTGCCGATGCATGGTATGCACGTGTAGGCATCTCTCTCAAGATTTTGTTCTATACATTCTATATTTTCCTTCTTTCATATTTTCTTTGACTCTGAAAAACTTGGTGGTGAAAGCAAGTGGTAATTCGAGTCCTGCTCACACCCTTACAGCATTTTCTGAAGTTTCAACATGATACTGAGATGCTGCTTCACCTGTTTTGGTGAGCCCACACTAGGCAGGAGGCTGCGCAGCTCCCTGGTTAGTTTCCTCCCCCGGCCGGCCTTTACAGCTTCTTCTTCTTCTTTCTGCAAAAACACAGATGAAAACATAACATTGTGTGTGACAGGCTGAATAAAAGTTCTAAACGGGAACTATTCGGCTCCAGATGTCTTACTGAGGGACGACTGCGTGTGCAAGATGTCGGTAGCTTGAGGAATGAATCCCCTCTACTATATAGAAAACATAACATTAGTTTATTGTAAATTCTTGCCTGAAGGGCTTGAAGGCAGTAGTCCTTGCAAAGACCTCCTAACCACACAGTAAAGGAACAGAAACTGCAGTAGTATGGTCACTGGGACTAACCAAAACTATCATGCTAAAAACAGGAAGAGAGAGGGAAAGATGGAAAGATAATATCAGAGATTCAATGTACTGGCACGACACTAACTTGACTATGACCAGAAAAATCTGAATGGACCTATAACATTATTACGTCATTGTTTTTTTACAGCAATGAATGCCGGTCAATCGATGTTTACAGGGGTGCGTAGCGCGGTGTGTGCTTGCCTTAGTATAAGGCCTTTATACATTACTACTTTCATCTACTGTCACAACAAAATCACCCATTACGGCATGTAATGCTGTGTCAACAAAACTAGACGCAGCAAAAATCAAACATACCTGACTTTGAAAACTTTGAAATGATCTTTATTCTTTAACTGACCGTTCTAGAATGTTCTTTAGAACAGGTAAACAAACTGTGACGTAATAATGTCATAGGTCCATTAGAGTAAGGGAAAAATGAGATGGAGACCTTGCGCTTCCTGGTGAGACGAGTGCTGTCATCCTGAGAACTTTTCGTCGTCTTGCTCGGTGTGTCAGGAGGGTTGGGACAGGAACGCTTCCTACTGGTACCTACTGCAGGGCAAAGGTCAAATGGCATAGGTTAAAATGTACTTCTTTTTACTTTACAAAGCAAGATATGGGGCAAGAACAGGTCGAGTTAGGTAAGAATGCTGTTGGCCAACATTCAACATCACTGAGAATACAAAAACCAAGTTTAAGTCCCGCTTACCATTCAGTCTTGGTTCCCCACACTTCCTCCACTTGAATCTCCTTCTATTCATCCAGTTCTATCAAATTACACAGAAATGGTGGGTTATGACAAATTGGCACATTTCAAGTACTTCCTTACTGAAGTACTAGTATGTATACTCAAGGGAATGCATGGGTATAGCATTTCACAAAACACACCTTGCACAAGTTGAATTCAGCCGATTATTCGGCTGATTATACTTTTATAGAAAAAAAAAAGGTTAGCAAAGCTTTTGCTCGAACTCATGTTTTCATGTTGACGTTTGAATTCAGCAATATTTTCTTCCCTGGATTCCATTCATGAACACTGTATGATTAGTTAGTAGTAACGTATTGACTTAGTTCGTTAATAATGACTTAAAGTTGTTAACTCACATAAACCTTTGCTGGCTTGGTGTTGAGTTTCTTGGCCAGCTGTGCCTGTACAGAGGCTTCTGGATAGGGTCCAAACTGCTGAAAACTCTTCTCCAGCTCCTCAACTTGGTCGGGGGAAAACCTTCACTCAACAAGATTTTCAAACATCTCAACATACATCCATGATACAGATAGGGTTATCATATTGTTTAATTGAAGTTCAAATGCAAAGTTCCAATGAAAGATATGTAAGGTTCACTCACTCACTCACTCAGTCACTCACTCAGTCACTCACTCAGTCACACTCACTCATTTGCTCGCTCACTCACCAACCAACCAACTCACTCATTCACTCACACGCTCATTCACTCTCACTCACTCACTCACTCACTCACTCACTCACTCACTCACTCACTCACTCACTCACTCACTCACTCACTCATACACACTCACTCACTCAGTTTCCCACCCAGCCACCCACTCATTCACTCATTTGTTCTTTCAGTCATACATTCATTTTGCATTTGTTCATTTATTCATTCCTTACCACCCCTTAGTCCTCTTCATCCTATCTGTACTAGAGTTCCTCGGACTGTCCACAGCTTCAGGTTTGGGAACCATTCTCCTTCCTCTGGTACCTACAAAATGTGTTACGATAGCATTGTAAATATTCATCATATTTATTTATCTTTGTGTTCTTTAGCCAGAGTGGCCCACTCAGTGATTAACACTGCTTTGCAGCCTGGCCCTGGGTATAAAACACATTTAAAGAAATCATGAAAGTTCATCTGTGTTGGTACAAATCATTATGAAATAAAGACTGAACTTTAACTTCCAACACTAGTTATCTGGCACGTATGACCCGCTACTACGGTCACGTGTCTCTGACGTCACGTTCCAAAAGTAGACGGGTCCATTCCGTGAACAAGGTTGATGGAGTCAACCGAAAATTTGGGGTAAGTCCCAATTCTGTATCTAGTGTTGGAAGTTAAAGCTTAGTTTTTATTTCATAACATTTAAAGAAAAATAAAAGAAACAAAACAATATGGCAAAACGTACAGAAAGTACTTACAGGACAAAAAAATCATAATTATGTAGAATTCTACAAATTTTGAGGACAAATAGACACACACAAAGCCATCATCCATACACAGTCATAGTCCACATTCTGGTCCATTTGTAATTAGGTCATTTTACAAATTTATAATTTACAAATTTGGCCAGCATTTCTTCACATCACTTTGAATAGAAGCTGCTGCTCTGATGAAAATTGTAAGAATACAGAATTTCATACAGTGTTGCCTTCATGAGTAAAGTAGCAAACTGTCACCAAAATGTCGGCCAGGCTGTGAATAAAGAACTCTGTTACACAGTCACTTGCTAAACAACCTGTTGAAGTTAAAAAAAAAAACCAAATTGCTTAAGTCCCTTGAGTGGTCTCTACACACAGGTGTATAGAGACTGTGAGAGAATATGTCAGCATTTGAGGAAATAGCTTGAGAAACAAAGACAAGAAAGTAGAACTCACTGTTTTTGTTCATCCTGGGTTTTCCCTCTCTCTTCCATTTGTTTCTTCTATTCTGAAACCACACCTGCCAAATGTTTAAGAAGAAAAACAGATTATTAAAACTTTCCCATGGACTCCAAATCCCACTGGGATATGCAGGTTAGTGCAGGTAAAATAGGAAATGTGCAATATTTCTGATGTCTGCCTTCTCCTAACCTGCACTGGTCCATGTACTGGGTATACGCAGGTTAGTGCAGGTAAAATTGGGGCTGTGCAGTTATTTCTGATGTCTACCTGCACCTAACCTGCACTGGTCCATGTACTGGGTATATGCAGGTTAGTGCAGGTAAAATTGGAGCTGTGCAGGTATTTCTGATGTCTACCTGCAACTAACCTGTACTGGTCCATGTACTGGGTACATGCACCTTAGTGCAGGTAAAATTGGAAATGTGCAATATTTCTGATGTCTACCTTCTCCTAACCTGCACTGGTCCATGTACTGGGTATACGCAGGTTAGTGCAGGTAAAATTGGGGCTGTGCAGATATTTCTGGTGTCTACCTGCGCCTAACCTGCACTGGTCCATGTACTGGGTATACGCAGGTTAGTGCAGGTAAAATTGGAGCTGTGCAGGTATTTCTGATGTCTACCTGCACCTAACCTGCACTGGTCCATGTACTGGGTATACGCAGGTTAGGCCACACCAATTTAATTTGTTGGTTCTCGGATTCGCCTCTTCGTTTTTTTCTGATTTGCAAAAAAAAAAAAATTGATTTTGGTCCTGAATCAACTGAAAAATGCTCATGTTTTGCCCCCAACAGTTGAGGAAAGTCCTTTTCTTCCTAGTTGTCACAGTTTTCCCATCTATCATTGCAGTGGTTTGATTAAAAGTTCAAAATTCAGTGTTTTAATTTTAACCCGGCCTTTTATGTTGACTTCATGGCTCATTTTGTAGCATTTAAGCCTATAATAGGATGCCTAGACCTGTTTTTATTTTTATTTTTTTTCGCCCTGTCGCTTCATATTTTTTCTGAATAAATCCGAGAACCAACAAATTAAATTGGTGTGGCCTTAGTGCAGGTAAAATTGGAGCTGTGCAATATTTTCGATGTCTGAAATTGGAGTGACTTATAATAATTTATTAACTCACCCGAACCCTCGCTGGCTTGACATTGAGTCTTTTGGCCAGCTGTGCCTGTACAGAGGGGTCTACATAGGGTCCGAATTGCTGAAAACTCTTCTCCAGTTCTCCCATTTGGACGGGTGAAAACCTTCATTCAACAAGAGTTCAAATACATGTACTAGTATCTCATACATCTGTGAATTACTTACAGATTCTCTTGTTCAATTGTAGTTCAATGATTATGAAAAAGGTTTGATTAAGTTTCCCTACTTCCTGTGTCATGCATTCAACCCTTTGTCCCCTTAACCTGGGGTGAGACATGTCTATATAGCATATGGAAAAAACTTTTTGTTCTTGCTTCTCTCTGTGGACACAAATAAAAGCAAACAAGAACAAACAGACTCAGGTGTACCTTTCCCTCTTCTTCCCTCCTCTCCCATCTTCAGAGCTCCTCTCCTTCCCTTTGAGTGAAAAAAATACATTTACAAATTTCCTAACTATTTTTTGCTAATACAGACATAGCAAACAAAAACTCTATGAACAGGAGATTGGTCATAAGATATCGGGGGAAGGTAACATAGTAAAAATATGGTCAATTGAAGAAAGAGAAGACTACACCAATTCATACAGAATGAAAACATACATGCAGACATACGGACATAATAACCCAAACTCAAACACCTCTTGTTGGAGAGTACACACAGACATAACAAGACTGGCAATGAATACATACATTGCCATGGCGACGGTGGTTGCTGTTAGGGTTATTGTTTGCATGGCATTGCCATCATTTCATGATTTTGAGGAAGACTTGGTACTTGGACTTTGGTTAAGTCTAGACAGATACAGTACACTCCTCCCCTGAGTGCATAGTGAACGAGCCACAGGGTCACAGAAAGTAGGGCCATCTGGGGCAGAGAGGTCTTTAGGGTTCCAGGAATGTGGGCATAGATGTGGGTCAGAGAAATTCCTATGGATATTCCGCATGCCTGTGGACAAAATGCCTGTAGGGCTGTACAATTCCTAGAATTCTTGCAAATTGCACACACTACTGTACCATTAGGCTCCTCCCTGAGACGTCGCCAAAAACAGACACACACCAAAGACAATACATCCATTTTTCATAGAGGTAAAAAAAAAAGTCTAATATAACTCACTCTTCAGTCTGGGCTTTGCCGACTGTCGCCTGGTTCTCCTGTTACTGAACCAGTTCTATAAAAATAAATGTGTGTAAAAACAACTTGTGTTAGAACTGAAGTGTACAAATTCCCTCACTCTTCCTAAGAAGGGAATTTCCTCCTTCACAAATGGATCCTTCCAATTTGTTAAGAAGCTACAAACTTCAATACAACTAGACATTTCAACTTCTTGCTGAATTTACAGTAGAATCAAACATTTTTGTAAATAATTCTGTCAAAAAAAGCAGCATACATCCCTACAAACTGTGTTGTATCAGTTTTCTGTTATAGTTATGTGAGGAATGTTTGACGCTAAGTTCATCATGCCTCATATATCATCTAAAGTTATCATTGTTGTTACAGTTTATCAATGTTTGGAACAGCCAAATGAGTTGGAGTGAGAACTTCCACAATAAGCCCTGATTTTCCTATCATTTGGCACTGTTCTAAATGTCAAATTTCTCTTATATTAGTAGACAATGGGTAATTGCCTTGGCACTGACTGGTTAAATAACTCATCAGTAAGTATAACTTATCAACTAACTTAAACTTACTTATGAATAAACTTTAACCAACTTATGAACTAACCCTGACGCTGCCTAAGTTGATGTTGAGTTTGACGGCCACTGCAGCTTTTTTTGAGCTGTCAGGGTAAGGGTCGAGCTTGTACACCCTCTCCAACTGTTCCAACTGGTAGCTAGAAAACCTAAAACAAGGAAACAAACAACATGTTTGACTAGTACCTAATACCAGCCCAGAAGACAACAAGAAACAGCCCAGCCTTCAAGTACCAGAGTTTAATCTCCAAGCAGATCTTTCGGTGGCAAGACAGTATCCATTGGCCAGAGAGTGTCCATTAGCCACTTCGGTTGGCTAATGGATACAGGACGGCCAATGGATACAGGATGGCCAATGGATACTGTCTTTTTCCACCCAACCGAAAGATCTGCTTGGAGATTACCAGAGTTATCAACCAAGGATTGAGGTGTTCAAAAACTCATTCTTTCCTACAACTATCACAGAGTGAAACTCGCTGTCACCAAGTACAGTAGGGGCATTGTCATTAGATAGCTTTGAACAATGTTTAGAGTTAGAAGGTTCGGTGTAATGTAAAATGAAATGAAATAAACAACAATTTAACTCGTCAGACATCTGTACCTTGTTGGCTCTCTCCTCCTCTTGCGATCATCCTGTGGCCCATCCTTCCTCTCTGTGTTAGATGCCCTCAAGTTGTGCTTGGGGTCAACTTCAGAATGAGCTGTGGTACTAGATGTACTGTCAGCTTCACCCTTTTCATCTTCCTCTTCTTCTTCTTCTTCTTTTTCCTCTTCTTCAGCTGAACTATCTTCTTCCTCCTGAGATGATTCGTCATTTTTGGCCAATTCCTCCTCCCGGACCTCTTCATCATTGTCACTGCTGGCCTGTTCTTCAAGGTCTAGGGACAAAGTTTGGCTTAGATGAAGACAGTAATTGTCTATACTCACTATTACTCAATAAAGACACTGACTCCAGGTGTTGACAATCTTGACAGTCATGACATGCAAAGGGACTCAACCTTTTGTCTCCTTAACCTGTGGTGAGACATGTCTATATAGCACATGGAAATAACTTCTGTGGACACATGGAAATAACTTCTGTGGACACAAATAAAATGTTTCAGTTGTTTCATCAGGTGGTATGACCGTGTGACCAACTTTGCCCTACGCCGGTCAACAAACCAGCCTCCAGTCTCCCAGAAGATTCGGGCTGCCCGCCTCCGACTCTTCGGCCACCTCGCCAGATCATCTCCGCCCTCAGAACCAGCTAGACTACTGCTGGAACCCACACCTACAAACTGGACCCGACCCAGGGGCAGGCCCAGACAGAAGTGGCTGGATGTCCTGTCATCAGACCTGAGAGCAGCAGGCCTCAACCTAACTACAGCCTGGGCAGCGGCGCAGAACAGAAGTGCTTGGAGGACAGTTTGCCGGGGCGCTATGCTCCTAGGAGCATGCGGACATGAGTGAGTGAGTGAGTGTTTCATTTTGGGGTATTTTCACTCGTCCACTACTTTTCATCACTGACAAAGTTGTCCCAGAAGCAACAGATGCTACCTGAAGCATCTGACAGTTCATATAATCTATCCAGTTGCTTGAGTAACAATTACCTTGTGTAAGAAACAGAAGCCTTACCTTGGTGTTCGTTCTCCTCACTTGCATACCCCAGCAGTGGGGAGTGAGGGGACTGAGGGGAGGTGTCCTGGTAGAACACTAGTGATTCTGACTCCGAGTCGCTAAAATCTAACAGTGGGGCCACCTCCATGTCTTCTGTAGTACCTGCAGCCACTGGTTTATAAGTACAGTAACTATATGTGAATACTGTCATGAAAGTTCATCTGGGTTGGTAGTTACATGTTTAAAGTTAAAACTTTTGGTCCAACACAAATAATTCTCTCACCTAGAGCTTTCGACCAGTCATGATCACTGTCTTCCAAAGTAGACTGACCCAGTGAAGCTTGTCACGTGGCTTCTTTGAAGTGTGACGTCAACACTGGGTCAAAGGTATCTGGTAGCCACCTGACAAGCCTCACTGGGTCAGTCTACTGAGGAAGACCAGAGTGACTGGTCGAAAGCTCTAGGTGAGAGAATTTTTTGTGTTGGACCAAAAGTTTTAACTTAAAACATATATGTGAATACTTATATGTTAAAATACCAAAAATAGTTTAATTGTGTTGGTAGAGTAAGGGCTTTCTTTTATACAACCAGTATTGTCTCTTACCGATGTACTTTGCTCACATTTTGGTCAGAAGCTCAGAGGAGGGTGTTTGATGGGTACCGAAGCAAGGTATGTGACAAAATTGGTTGTGTAAAAGAAAACCCCTTTATCATAAATGTGAATACTGTCTGTTGAACATGTTGGAGGATGAAAGATTCATATACATGTACATGTACACGCACTTCTACCGTCATGAAAGAAGGGAGCTCTTTAAAGGAGCCACCAAATTTTCTTCAGTAATGTTTTCTCTCTGTTACTCCTTCTAATGTCCTGTGCTGGTAGGAAGACAGCATAGAGCTTGAAATCACAGAATAGTGTGACTAAATCACAGCATATGGTGGATCAAACTACTGTAAGCTAGCTAGAACACTGCCACTGGGAATTATGCAAACCTTGGTCACACTGCTGCATCACATTCACAGGCTGGCTACACATCAGTCGGGAGACTCTCGACACTGTGGCACTGGACTCCTCCCAGTCTTCAGAGTTTTCTGTACTATCTGAGGACTCATCTTTCTCCCGATCACTCTGCGCCTCACTGTCTGATACCTCACTCTCATCTAGCACTGGAAAAAAAATACAAACAGTGCAATTAGTGCTGCATACCGTTTCACTGGACATGGATCCGGACTTGTAAAATGTTTAGGTTCAAGTCCAAAAAAACTTTAAAGTCAAGAACCGAGTCCAGACTTATTACCATAAAAGACCATTTGACATACCCCTTTTCTTTCCAAACCACCTAAAACCTTCTGTAGATTGCAAAATCTTTGCTGCAAAATGAAGAAAACATTGCCATCGGGCATCGTCAACTACCGGCCTCCAAGTTATGTGGCCATAGTTTCACCCAGACAACTTTGCAAGGTTGCCAACATGCAATTTTGTATATGCCATGGGTTTAGGTCCGGACTTACAAGTCCGGAACTGAACCTAAACCTCCGGACTTGAATCCGGACCTGATTACCTAAATGTGGGTTTAGGTATGCACCACTAAGTGCAATTAGTGAAAAAACTACATTGGGACTTCTTAGAAGAGCACAATCTCTAAGAGATCATTCGCTGATGTTTCAATTACAACTCCACAGTTATTGTTGTACTCTGTGATTATATGGTCAATATCCTTCTTTTCTAGCACATGTATTGAGAGACTTTTTTGAAAGTAAAGAAAATATGATATGAAAATGACTAGAAATTTAAAAGAAGGATGTGAACTGTTTAGAAAGACAAATACATGTAATTAAAAAAAAAGACTACCAAAGTTGCAAACTGATGGTGAGCTGGATCCTTACCTTACATCTGCTTGGTTGGACTTGGAGATTTACACATCGCACAACAATTTGCCAAAATTTAATGAGCATTGTTATCTGTTTACATCCATGTTGTACATTATATTGCAGGGCTCGAAATACTGAGTGCATGTGCACCTTGGTGCACCCAAATTTGGAGTTGTGCACCCAATTCTTTTCTGTGGGTGCACCAGTGCACCCAAATATTTTAATACCCTGGTATTTTTGTACATATCAAATCTATAATAGTATACAGGATATTCTTGGCATCTAAGTGTCAGAAAAATAATATAATCTTTGTTGTAGTACTTGTTTAGCTTTTGAAATTAGCTCCCAGTAAGATCTGTAATTAGGTTTTGTTTTATATGGTGCACTGAAAGAATTTGTTGTGCACCGACCCTATGTTTTTGGTTGGGTGCACCTGAGTGCACCTATTCCCAAAAATGAATTTCGAGCCCTGTATTGTAGGAACAGGTCGGACATACCATCCACAATCTGCTGAATGTGCTGCTGGTAGCAGGCAGACAGTTCTGGTAAGTCATCCTGGTCACTGAATTCTGCCATGTCTGACAGGCTAGGAAGGGCTTTGGATACGTCTGTAGGAGGACGAAACATTGCAACTGGCTGTCACCAAGTACAGTAGGGGCATTATCATTAGATGGCTTTACAGAATGTTTAGAGTTAGATGTTCAAGGGTTAGGTGTAACAAGTTGATATACCCAGCTGTGGGGTGAAAAGTCAAATTATACACAAATAATGTTGTAGAGAAGAATTTTGACACATGGATACCAATGAATTATATACTTATGAATATAAATTTTGCACACAACTCATTAAACAATTTAATTATGGGGCAATAATTTTTAGTGCAGCAAATTATGTACCGGTATAACTAAATTATGTAATAGAATTTTGACGCATGGATACCTATAAATTTATTATGATATGTAATGAATATAAACAAGAAGCCATAGGCGACAATTCTCCGTGAAGTATTATATATTGCAACAAAAAGAAGTAGCCATTGGCGACAATTCTCTGTGAAGTGTGATAAATCGAACAAAAAAAAATTGTTTAAACGCGCGTCGGCTCAGTCATCTTAAGACGCAACAACCAATCAGAGATGCGAGATGCCTACACGTGACGCGGGAAGGGCGCGCGATGCCCGAAATATTTTTGCGTCAATATTCAGCGCCGTGATTCAAGAGATTAATACCCGGAAACAATTTTTTTCTTGTTTTGAACGCATTAACATGCATTTACGCTAATCTAGTATGATTCAGGGTTACTTTTTTTTAACCTGCCATGGCCAGATTATCTAAAGATGTGTGTATTGTGTGTACAATCTATAGAAAGAGAAATGTACATCAGGTCCGATCATCCGATTTTCACGTTTCGGTTTTTTGGACTCGGTTCATGAACGTATTTTGGTTTGGCTCCTGGAATGTGCAAAAAAATGACTCCCGGGACTGTCTACAGGGAACACTCGCACATTCGCGGTGTATCAGGACAGCGCGACTGGTCGTCATTAGCGCAGTAACAGTTGCATAAACGGACGAAACCATTTCAAAGAAATGGGGATGTTTCGAAAATAAGCATTTACTCCAATATCAAAACAGCTACGGTAAAAATAAAAAGACGTGCATCATCCCGGACATAATGCAACACCACATGCGAAATTACACAGAAATGCGACGTACGGAAGAATGCGTTTTGGCTGCGAACATCTTCCAAAAAACTTGGCATCTCTTAACCATGGGCAAAAACATCTGGAACCACTTATAAAAACCACCCCGTATCTGCATGAACTTTTTTGAACCCCACTGCTATTCCAAACAACGCGTTTTTCTGGACCATTCCAATTCGCCTCGTAATTGTAGGGGTGCGTCTGCGATATTACATTGACCGCGAAAGCAGCAACGGCAAAAATACACATTCGTGCATCAACACGGGCATGCCCGCAGACGGCGTATAAAATTGCGTGCCGATTACACAAAGAGAACCCAGTGTTTTGACTGCGAACATGAAAAATCAGCCGATTACAACACTCCGTCCGGAGGTCCTGACCTCCTTCACGGAGTAATTATGCACACAACTCATTAAACCATGAGTTAACCACCTTGATTAAACAATTTAATTAAGGGGCAATAATTTTGAGTGCAGCAAATTGTGTATAAATAATAGAATGTAATAGAATTTTGAAGCATGGATACAGAATTATGATACAGGTACTTATGAATAGAAATTACGAACATAACTCTATTAAACAAGGAGGTCTAAAATCAAAACTTCTTGTCAACCTCTTTGCTCTAAACAACAATAATTTTGGAGCAAACTGCAAACATCGCGGTAGGAATGAAAAGGGGGAAAATTCAACTCTACTCTACTCTACTCTACTCTACTCAAAACAGAAATTCTGTATCTTGGTTGCGTAAAACACCAGCTATTTTTCGCATCATCTCATTCTGTGCCCTTGATTCGCAAACACACAAAAGTTGTTTGCATGATAAGAAGCGGGACCCAACTTTTAAGCGGGGAGGTAAACAAATATTCAAAAACTCAACTAGAAAGAAAATTAAAAAGAAGAACTACATGTATTTATAAGGTTTTATTCGGTAACAAAATCTGAGGATGATGGTGACCTTCCTTTGGAAATGTGTCGGCTGTCGACAGAACGGGAAAATCATAAATTTTTCGTAAAATCTGTTGACCTTTTCTCTTCCCGCCAACTGGAAAGTTTTGAAGAGAAGCCCCCAAAGTTTTGTCCAGTTTTCAGCCGTAGAAAACTCCAGATTCACACATATATTTCCCCTTCTCCCCTCTTGAAAATTCAAACCATCCATAAAAGAACCAAACAAACCTGAAAACTCGGAGAATCTTTGGGGAAGTTTGGGAAAAGTCCAGAAATTATTCTCCTCCTCCTCCTATCTCCCGCCAATCTTGTGAAACAACAGAGGAATGCGACCTCTGGTGACCCCCAGGATTCGGACAATTCCATAATGGAATAGTGGGGGGTTCTTGGAAAAGAAGGGTTGTTTCATTTATGGTTTCGGGTGGTAGTGCAATTTTACGAAATGATCTCGATTTTATGTCCGTAATTTTCGCGTATAAAATGCTGTACGTTTCGTGCCTTGTGAAATATTTTTTTTCTCGTCTTCAGTGTTAACGTTACATTGATTCGTGTCGTGTCTGACACATTGTTTTACAGAAGGCCAAAAAACGCATAGACAGTCGGAGAATAAGTGAGAAATTCACACCTGGCAATAATGAATAAAGAAAGTAATTCACAGGGACTTTTAAAAAACACAACATGACCAGACGGAGTCAGTGTTATGTAAAGATGGCAATGTTCTTATTGATGTTATTCTCATTCTTCGTATACAAAACGTAGCGCCTAGTTCTCATGCAAATCTATGATAACAGTGGTCCTGTTCTAGCCTTTGTGCACCATCCTTTTATACTCGCTCCCCCAAAAATTGGCAAAATAGAGACTTCTCCAATAGACTTCTACATTACAAAGAAAACAAGAGCGAAATGTTGATTTTGCTAATTCATTAGAATTTTTCTTCTCAAGCGCACGAAATAGAAAAGATTGTTTTGAAGTGAGCAATCAAAGTCAAATACCATAGAAAAAAGGGAAACAAAAAAAGCCACTTATGTTACCTTTCCTAATTTCCTAATTTCCTAAAGTGCTGTTTCAAATGCTTAGCACATTTATGATTTGCCAAACAAAACCAGCATTTGCCTTTAGAAAGTTAAAGAAAAAAATCGTTTTATGAATACCATCATTTCTAATAGATAATGAATTGACCAAAACTCCAAGAAGAAAAGATATGCACCATTTCTCCGTGTTTTCTCGTTTTCTCTAGTGCTCTTTTCTTTCTTTCTTTTTTAAATTTTCTCCTGCCCTTAAAAGACAACACCAGAAAAAATTACTAAAATGTCGCAAAAATAGAAACAAAACATCGAGAGCAATCAGTAGCCTAACATCTGCTTGGAGATTTAGAGTTGACCCTAATTTGGTTACTAGTAATCTCCAAGCAGATCTTTTGGTGGCTAAAAAGATAGTATCCAACACGCGGACAGTATCCAGCAGGCCGACAGTATCAAATTGGGCCGGCTGTCAGAAAAAAACGGGGCGTAGAAAAATGTCACAATCTTCCCATTCAACCTCTGCTTGGAGAGTAAATTTGGTGACGCGAAACCTTTGTTGATAATCTGGCTCTAATTATGCGCGTCGAAAACCCCCCACGCATTCAATGGTTTATCCCGGCCCCAAGAAAATCAAAATGGCCGCTTCTGTCTAGAAATCTCTCCCGAGGATTATCCGGAAATCGAATCCAGATTGTGCTTCTGGGATGCCTAAGAAGAGAAAGAGGACGGCGGTGGACTCAGACGAGGACAGTCCACGAGAGGAGGCCCACACGAGAGGGTTTGTCGGCCATTTTCCCGCCCATTTTCGCTCACAGTTGTATGAAATATTGTATGCGAAATGCGCGAAGATAATTTATGACAGTTCCAAAATAATTTTACACTGTTGTGGAGCCTCCGTAGCGTGCTTGGGTTCAGTTTGTTTTCTTTTGGTTCTTTTATTATGTGTATCAATTTTCTGGTATTCGTAGTCAGCGTCGGGTAATTACTGATATAATGAGTGATAAATAAATGATGACAAACATCTGCCAGAAAACGACACATGCAAACCAGCGTACGATGTTTTGTCAGTCGCTTATAAAGACAGCTGCAACAACGCCAAGTGTTCTTTTTATTTTGAGGTCTGTCGTTTGATAAAAAAATATGTTCGGATTCTCCACCTTTGTTGTGTTGTCTGCACGCATACGTTACGGTTGATGTGCCTATTTTATCATGAAGAAATACACATGTATGTGCAACAGTTAGTAGTGAGATCGGTTAAAGACAAGACGTTCAGTCATATTTTTACCTCCATTGTCATATCTAGATTGCCCCCCCCCCACTACGTGGTGTGGTGAAGCCATTTAAAAAAACACCTCATCATTTGGACATCAGTAACTTCATATGAAGTATAAATAGATACTATTATGAAAATCAAAGAAAAACCCACTATTAGTCATAGCTGCGAACACACAGACACATACAAAGACAGAGATATTCAAATTTCAATATGCTTTTATCATGCCCTTTCAGTATATCCACATATGTAGGCCAATTTATACACAATTCGCTGACAAAACGAGAAAATGTAAATTATACGTTCCAGACACAATGTCATATTACATAATGTACTATCAATAGAGTTAGAGTAGTATAATTAGTATCTCTGAGTCTTTACATTGTATATGAAAATAGATCAGATTGTTGTCATCTCTTAGAACTGCTAGATGTTGTTACCATCACCAACTATGTACTAAGTACATATATTTTTTTGTTGTACCCGTTACATCTGTAAGTGTTGTGCAATAAAGTTCTTTTATAACTAGTATTTACTATCCCACCCTGCCCTCCCCCCAGTGAGAGTGATCCGACCCTGCAGGAGGTGACCACAGAGTACCTGAGTCTCCTGGAATCTATGAACACAAAATCCGGCCGAGATAAGGACCAGAGCTCAGGTAATGTCTTCAAGGGGGCCCGCAAGCCCTTTTCCGTAGAGCGTAATCGGCGTTTTAATTCTACGTAATGCGTTGTAGCCACTTGGAATTTATCATAAAGCGTAATCGAGAGGTTTCCGATTTCAGCGTAGAGCGTTGTCGGGACCCCCCATTCCAGGCCCCCCTTCAACGGTCTGGGATTGGGAGAATTTAAGAAAGTTATAAGAAATCTCTAGAGCCATCTGAGCTAGCTGAAGGCCTTATGTACTACTGGTCATGACAGACAAGACAGATAACTGATATAAGGGGTCTTGAAAATATGTACCAGTCCATGTCAGTAGAACTTAATGTCAACAGTACCTGTGCTAAACCCAGATTTTTCATTGGATATGTTGTTAGAATTGCTTCAAAATTTTGCCCTGGAGATGATATCTTTTCCGAAACAACATTTGAACAAGTTCAGAACAACTACAGATAGGATTCTTGATGTTCTGCCAAAGCGATATATCGTATATGGAAAAGTACATAATCGGCTTGCATGTGTAGTCACATTACACTGTGCCTTGTAAGACTAAGAGGGTCATATTCAGTGTTCTCACCAGGACTTTTTCACAGCATAGGGGATAGGTACAGAAGGGCAACTTTCGTGGCGCAAGTAGCGTATTGAGCCTAAAAATTTTGAAACTCCTGAGACACTACTTCTCACTTATTGGGGGACAGATTTTGTAAAGTTATGGTTTTCCCTTTACTATAGCTTCAATCTAAAGTTATAGTTTCATTTTTTATAAGATTTATGACAAAAAACACCCCTGTGCTGTCTTTGAAGCAGCATAGGGGTCCAAATCACAGCATAGGAGGCCCCTATGCTCAAAAGGCCTGGTGAGAACACTGATATTAATTTGATTGTGTTTATTTGCTACTACTACTACTAGGTGAGGAGAAGATGGAAGGAGAGGAAGACCAGGATCGGAGCAGCGAGGGCAGCAGGAAGAAACAAGGCAAAGGTAAGATAATACATTCTTTGTCTAAGAAGAAAATTCTATTACATTTATACCATGAAAGCTCCCCTACACTCAACTGTATTGGTATTCCATGATGAGGTACTGTGAAATAGAATTATGTACTTAAACAGTAAGAAACAAGGACTTTCATTGTCTAAGAAACAAGTTCTATTTAAGCTCCGATCTGTATTGGTACACTGTACAAAGTGTACATGTATTATATATTCCATTATGTACTGTGAAGTAGAATACTTTAGTAATTTTATCATAAGTAGTTAGTACCTGGTCACTTTGAAGTATGAATACATGCATGTACAATATATCATGACCTGGGTTGGTCCCTTTGCCTGTTCCATTCCACCACTACATGTATAGACTGTAGACCCTTTTAATGTTAAAGGCATCCAGTGCAATTTCAGGGTGGCAAAACTGGACTTGCAAAGTTGTTCATTCTTTTAATGTTGTAGTACGTTGAATAAATCCCAAAACATAAGTTGAGGCAACAGTGTATCAGAATTGTTTTGTATAGTAGACTGGTTCTTGCTATTTTTGGTTGGTATCCAAAAAATAAAGATTTGCTATGTAGCTTGTTTCGAGGTTATTTCAAATGCTTCAAGTATAAAATAAGGATGAAAATGAGTTCAGAAATGGCAGTACATACATGTCAATATCAGACCAATTTCTTAATCCAAAATATTTTTTGTTTCGCCACCCGGGACTTGCATTGGATGCCTTTAAAATTAAATGAAGTCAGGCCCAAACCCCCCCTCCCCTTCCCTTCAAATCGTCAGGAGAACCCCCCAAGAAGAAGTCTCCGTTCGAAAACGCTTTCCAATCCTTCATCGATGAGAGAGACCAGGCGACGTCGGTCTTCGGCGAGCCAAACCGCCAACGCCGGGGGCCCTCAAAATCCCAGCCCAGTAAGGGGAGTCTGAAAGACGTCAGAATACGAGGTAGAGAAAGTGACCAGGTAGAAACTGACCAATCACAGAGTAGTGCTGATGTGACCGTTGGCCAATCAGGAGCCAGGAACGGTGGTAGCCGAGCGGACGGAAGCAGTGGCGAGGATTCGAGCGACGTGGATGAGAAAGCGGACGGAAAGTCGTTTTTCGAGGCTGCAGACTTTGAGGAAGAAGAGGAAGTAGATCTTCGTCCCAGGAGGATGTCATCAAGACAGGTGGGTTTTCTTCTTGGAAACTTTGTTTGGTAGAACTAGAAGCAGACTGCAATTTTCTTAACAAGACTGGCAATGCATACAAAACATACAATTGCCATGGCGACGGTGGTTGCTGTTAGGGCTATTGTTTTCATGGCACTGACATCATTTCATGAAGACTTGGTACCTGTTAAGTCTAGACAGATACAGTGCACTCCTATCCTGAGTGTATAGTGAAGGAGCCCCGGGGTCACAGAAACAGAAAGTATTGCCATCTGGGGCAGAGAGGTCTTCCCAAGGGATTCCAGGAATGTGGGCATAGATATGGGCCAGAGACATGCCTGTGGACATTCCATGCCAATTGACAAAATGCCTGTACCATTCCTAGAATTCTTGCAAACTGCACACAATACTGTTCCATTAGGCTCCTCCCTGAGACATCGTCAAAAATAAAAACACAAAGTCTCGAAAAAACAGCCACGTGACAAGCTTCACTGGGTCAGTCAGTCTACTGAGGAAGACCTAGCCTGGGTACCATCCTACTTGTATGCCGGGGCTCCCACACTCGCTTCCCTAACGCGAGTGTGGGAGCCCCGGCATACAAGTAGGATGGTACCCAGGCTAAGGAAGACCAGAGTGACAGGTCGAAAGCTCTAGTTAAGAGAATTTTTTGTGTTGGACCAAAAGTTTTAACTTTAAACATGTAACTACCAACACAGATGAACTTTCATGATAAAACAAACAAACAATTATGAGAGTTGATGTTCTGTGTTGAATTGCAGGCGGCTCAGAAAGCGCGCACGGTCATGAAAGACCACGACTCGGAAGAGTCCGACTCGGACGGCGCCGACACAGTGGAACATCAGAAGGAGTCCATCCAGAAGGCCTCAGCAGACAGCACAGGTATGGAACTAATGGTATAGACTAGGGCTGCATATCTGTACACAGTACCGGTACAGCAATGCTAAAATTGAAAAGGTACAGGTCCGAAATGCGGAATTACTAAGTTACATCACTAAGTACCGGTATATACCGATATGACACAGGTGACTAAAGGGAGCATAACTAAAGGTGACCTGAGCCCTGACAACATTGCTGCGCTGGCTGCTGACCGGCGGTCGTGGAATGGACTTGTGATCGCCTGCGTTGCAGCCGACCGATGATGATGATGATGATAACTAATACACTGACATATCTTTCAAGATCTAGGTAGAGTAAAAATTGTATGCAACAAAAAACAGTCCACATACTCAGATGATACTCCACATGGTTCTGTTTTGTTTGAATGAAGCATAAGGCCACCTAGTTCTGCCAATAGCAGGGTGGCTAGGCTATTGAACATGATTTTGTCCATAGAAAAGGGGGAGGCCTCAGCATAAGCCATTTCAGGCTTCCTCTCTCCTTCTGCACTCTGTTTATTTTGTATACATTCCATTACTGCACCGTTTATGTTTTTGTGCCAATGAATAAATAAATAAAAAAGATAAACCATACTCATTGATCTACCAACCAATATGGAGAGTTGTTTGTGTTGGTTGGAAATGTCTAATGTTCTCTAGCCAAATTTGCAGGTGCTACAGAGACAAAACCTGAGGGCACTGTGCTGACAAGGAGAGGGAAGCAGGCTGGCAGAAAGAGAAGAGGTAAACTTCATCTTCTATGTGCAATGTTAGGCTCCTTACCATACCCTACTGTACAAGTCAGGTCTAGAGTGTACTCTCTTCTGATGGCAGTCTTGCCTGGGTCTGACCTTTGACCACATGACATCACTGGGTCAATCTCCAACAACTAGAGGAGTTGTACTTTGATTAGACTAATGTAATAGAGGTGAGGCAAATATATATATATATAAGTTGGGTAATATTTAGTAATCTTAGTATTGTACTCTTTTTTACCTTTTAGTTGCTTTAATGCAAGCTATTGCTATGATGCCATGGTGGGCAAAAAGCGGGTTGCCTACTGATAATTTGCATATGTCTTCAACTTATTTGCATGTGTATGATGCAAACAAAACAGTGATCGTCATATTCAAATTGCTGATAAGCCTCTATTCTAAGCCATTCACAATACATATATTGTCTGCCCTTGTAGCGAAGCGACGCCACTCTGAGGTGGATGATGATGATGATAATGACCCTGAGTGGAACCCCACACAGGAGAAACCCGCACCCGGTCCTCTGGACAAGGTGAGTTTCAGCAAAACAACAAACAAACAAACAAACAAACAAACAGCAGGGCTGTTTTTATCAGCTTTATGGTCTCATGAGTTTTTTCGATACATTAGGAACCATGTATTAATGGGTGCCTTACAATACCGTGTTCCTTATGATCCTACAATAATTTGATATAGGGAATAATTGATATTGATCATGCTATGTTGAGCACATTTACGCTACATCACACATAAATTAATTGCCAACGACTTCTATACACGCAGTCCCTTTTTATGGCAAATTACATCACAAAGGTTAAACATTAAAAAGGCAGTGGGCTATATGTTCATCAATTAGGTCATGAATGGATGACAATGACCTAAACAAGTGAGTGTGAGTGAATAAATGAATGAATTGATGAACAAGCTTTTCCCTGGGCCATCTCTACCCAAGGACATTATACACACTCTGTGTATAATGTCCTTGCTCTACCCTAGGCACTTGAACACAACTGGCAAGGTGTAAGCCAGCTTATTTTGAACCTCCTTGTTTCTTTTTTTCTACCTCCATGTTGTAAGGGATTTCACCAGATCCCTGTTCATGTTTGATAGAAGATGGTTCCCTTAGCTGGTGGAGGGTTAAGTGTAGCACGATACAAAATAAAGAAGGTTACAAACATGTCTCCTGTGTCCATCCCTCTGTATTTATTTATTTATTTATTTTTAGTCACATATTCATTTGGGGAGCAAATTTTGCTCATGTAATCATGTTGATTTATACCTTTCATAATTTTAATAGAAGATTGTGACATTGGATTTTTTTTGTATGTTGTGTTTTTTATTTAACAATGTTTATATATTAAACACGGAGGTAGTGAAAAGGCATGCATTAGATGACAAAGGTGGAAAGTTTAAAATCATTATTGAAGAAGCAAGCATTGTTTACTACTAGACAGGCACTAACTATGTTTGCAGTAGACAGCCCTCATTCTCTTGCATCATCATATAGCCAGTGTTTATGTTTAGTTTATCGTAATATTTCAGTTATTCTTATTGTTAAGGTACAAAACGTACATTTTCTATACGTTGGTCTTTTTAATGTGTCAATTTTCACCAATTTGAACCGTTTTGGAGAGATGTTACCGTAATTTTTAGATCAGGCACCTATAAAAACACGATGAACTGCCCTGGTTCTAATAATTTACTCCATACACCATCTGGGGTTACGCTGGTGTCAGGACTCGCCGCTCTGGTACATATTTTACCTCTACGCGCAATTTTTAAGCGTCTCTGTCGACACCTGGCACTTTTGGGAGCACTCTTGTGATATTTAGAAGCGTTGAGTGCTGAGAAACCTCTTGAAAACCGGTTTACCGCGTCGATATTCGAGTTGTATTTCATCATCCCATAAACAACAAGTGGTACCGGAGTGATCTTACCGGCTGGGTGAGTTTGCGTACGCTTCACATTGTCAGTTGACAACAAACATGAAACGGCATATCTACATTTCTTTTGTGTTGTGAAAACAGCCGAAGCGCTATAAAAGTCTCGTTGTTGATCCAGATCTTTGTCTATGTTGTTTCCAAAACTGAGAATTTGACATTGGTTTAACCATGGTTAAAAGATCGGAATTTTCGACCGAATTTCTCGGTCTTTATCTGCCCCAAGTTTATGTTTATAAAATGTTATAAACGCTTGGTTGATTTTGTAGCAAATTATGTGCAAACGACATCCGATTCTTGTTGGCTGCTCGAAAATGAAGAATGAACTGATAGAATTTGGGTTTGTCCCTTTAATTCTAAACAGATGTGGAGTGCCCCTCTCATATTTTGACCACATGGAGGCATAATTTCCTATCTTCCCGCGAAAAATAGCCTACTAACAATAGCCTGGGTGTCACCCGATTTGTAACGTGGCAGAAAAAATACAGTCCAACACTTTGCACATATCGGTATGGTGTTTGGGCTGTTTATGCATTGCCTTCTCATTCAAACGTAACCATGTGTGTTTGGGTGGGTGTGCTCTCGTGTGAGTGGTAGTGGTAGATATGCAAATTTTTGTATTTTGAAAAATTTTATTTGGTATTACATGTACATGTTTTCATTGTATTTTTTCGTTGTATACTCTTTATGCAACACTTGTGAAGCGGGTTTTACCTGATCACTCTGTACTTTGTTATGCAAAAATGCTCGTTTCCCAGATTCCCAAAGACTTTTAATTTATATATATGTATATACAGGTATATGGCTTTCTCTGCTTAGCACTCAGCATTTGGAAGAAAGTATTGGAGTTAAACACCCCTGTTGTAGTGATTGCTTTGTGACCCAGGGATATTGAAAACAGAAATGGGCGCCTCCCTATGCGTCACGTGAAGTGGGAAGGCTTTTTAACTTTGTATGTTTACCGAAGGAAAACTTTTTGTTTTTGCTACGTTTCCTCTTCTTCTTCCATTCCAAACACTGACCTCTGACCTGGTCAATGACCTGATTTGTTGACATCTCTCACCATGGTAACTGGTGTTGGCTTACATAATGTTGCAATTTTATAGTAGGAGGGATTTATACTCCTGTCTGACCATATACATATCTGACCATATATATATGAATGTGTTTGAGTAAGAATTAACAGAGCAGCCACCATATGCGAAGGTAAACATTATGTATTTGCTTTGCAAATGTTACCTTTCTAGTTTTAATAACTGACATTCCGTGATACATCTATGTTTTCCCATCCAGCCTGCCAAACCCTCAGCGCTGGTAGTTAGCTCGAGTGACGAGGAGATCTCAGACGACAGCACGATGCGGCGCGGCCCGGGTCGACCCAGTAACAACGACAAGAAACGGCCGCCGCTGCAGCCCCCGAAGGTCGTTATCTACCCAAACAAGGTGGTGAAAACAACGGCGTCGTCCTCGGCTTCGGGACAGAAGTACACCACCATCGTGCAGAATACTGCTGGGTATGTGTTTGTTTGTTTGTTTTGTATATCACAATTCTGCCAAATGATATACCGAGTACATGTATGTGTATCACAAAACCTTCGATTTTATTAATTTTCTGTCTATCAGTTGTATAACTATAAGTTTTGATCTGTACATTTTATTTATTGTGTTCTCCCGGACTCCAGGTGTGACTGGTATAACAGTATTGGAGATCCTAGTACATGTAGTAATTATCCAGTCTTTGGCTATACTGCAGTATGTGGGGACTTGGTTTTCCTTTTAATGCCTAGGATCTTGTAGATGATCATTGTGGCCTACTTACTGTGAGGAAAGAAAAGTGGCATTAAGTGTCTATCCCAAGGGCACAAGGTTGGTGACTTGGCAGGATACGAACTCAGAAGCTCTTGGTTCTGAGCCGAATGCTCTGCCTTTACGCCACTTGACCCCATGACACAGGATGGGTGTTCAGCAAAAAACGAACATACTTTCCTATCGTACGCAGTGGCAGACAGAAGCCCACCAGCAGTAACGTTGTCAGCAGTTCCTCCTCTTCAGACATGATGACAGACGAACCCCTCATCCTCTCCGACGCTGAGAGTGAGAGCGAAGATGATTCACGTATGAACTACCTCCGGGTGAGTCTGGACTGTTTTTCTGTTTTGTTTTTCCTGAAAATAAATAGATAAATAACACCACAAGGATTATGAAATAAAGACTTGAACTCCATCACTGGAAATGAATTGGGTCTTACCCCTACTCTTCTCAACAATAATGTTGCATAATACATGTAGTATCATCACTGATCAGTTAATGAAGTTTTCTTAATGAACAATAATACCAATGTAATAATTTGTTTTATTGTTTGTTTTTTCACCACAGGAGGAGTTTGTAGTGAACACGGAACAACTGAGTGATGTAAGTTCATCTTACAGACCTGACATTTTTTCAATGTAAAAGTTCAATATTCAGACACACTGACTTTCAGATTATCATTCTAGCTTGATTCTAGAGAGATTCTAGCTTGACGTAGGAAAATCCCACAACTATGTAAGTTTAAACTGTAATTTCCAACAGAAGAGATTGGAATTTCGACTGTACAACTCCAGTCTTTGTCCTTAACAAAGACTGGAGTTATCCCTTGGGTTGGAAATTACAGTTTAACTGCTTGATAATGACTTCTACCAACACAGATGAACTTTCAAGATGACATGTGAACTCATCATGAAAGTTCATCTGTGTTAGTCATTAATTATCCTGATGATGGCAACAGTGGTCGTTAAAAATGTGATCTCTGTGTAATCCTTGTGTTGGAATTAAGTTCAACATTTTGCTATAACATGTGAACTTATATTGACATGTGCTTCATGGTTCAAATAACACTCTTCTCTGTTCCACCAGGACAACCACCCCATCTGGCAAATCCAGAAAACTCTGCTAAAGAAGTATGTGCCCTACCAGGACAAGAAACACTGGTACATCGCCTCCAACAGTGTAAGTAGTGACCCTACTGTACTTGGTAGGTGTGAGGTCCACTCCACAATAGTTCTTGGGAAATAAAAAAAGCATTTTTGAACACCTCAGTTGTTGTACTTACAGACATGACTACTTTGTTTCTTTTATGAGCTGGAAGCATTTTGTTTAAAGTTTGACCTTAATGCCCAGTACCTATTTCTGTTTGTACATAGTTAATTATCACCAGGTCTTGCTACCGGTAGTTAAGAGGCACTGACTATATGACTTACAGCCAGCCAACAGAATAAAGGAAAGGAAAAGAATAAACTAAAACGTGCCAAAAACTGTTACTGTTCACTCCCACAGTATCTTGGATGGTTTGGGTCGGAGAAGTCCAAGTTCCGGCCGGTCCGGTGTCGGTTTGTGCGAAAGGAGAGAAATGCAGACATCGTGAAGATCGTGAAACCACATCGCTCTGCCAACACAGGAGGCACGGAGGCCGCTCCAGATACAACTAATGAGGTCTGTATGTTTGTTTGTGCATCTCTGTCAGTAAAAAGGGTATTTTGTAAATCATGAAATACTTGCAGTGGCTTTACTTTTGCAGTCTGCTGTTACTAGATATGTGTTTCGTCTGTACATGTATTACTACTATAGTATGGAATTTGTTTCAACTGCAAACTTAAGCGCTGCTTTGTATTGTTGACGAATGTAAACATAGTCTGACCTGTACTACCAGTACTAGTGACCATGTCTGCATAAGGACAACCTGGCCATTATCTCCTTAAAGATTTAACCAAGGACGTTGAAGCTCCTTGATCTAAATGTGCCTTGTTCTTGTGTGTGCGAGCAGGTCCAGATGTTTCAACAATCCTTACAGACTCTACTAAAGACCTAACTGTTCCTTGTCCAGATGTCTCAGCTGTTATAGACTCCTTACAGATCCTTGTTCTTGTTTCTACCAGCAGGTCCAGACGTCAAAGCAGTCCTTACAGATTTCTTAAGATCTGACAGTGACAAACACCTTAAAGATTTAACTGTTCCTTGTTCTAATGCATACCAAAAATTTCCAGACTTCTTAAAGATATAGCTCAGTAACTCTTCCCTGTTGTTGTGTGTGCCAGCAGGTCCAGACATCTCAGCAGTCCTTGGCAGATTCCTTTAAGATCTACCTGCAGGCTGCAGTGAGCCAGGTGCTCGACGATGAGTTCCTTCCCTGTGTCGAGGAAGAGAGAGGTGCGTCGGATTGATTGATTGATTGATTGATTGTTGATTGTGTCAAACAAGCAATTAATCAAGATATTGAACTAGAATGGCAACATTGGCAAAGCAAATGCATAATTTTTACCCTTGTATATGGTTTGCTCTGTTAAATGATTCTCACTCAAATACATTCATATATGGTGACAGGAGTCTAAATCCCTCCTGCTATAAATTTGCAACATGATGTAACCCAACATGTTACTATAGTGACAGATGACTGGTTCAGGTCATTGACCTTATTTGTTTGGAGAAAAAGAAGAAGAAACAGAGCAAAAACAGTATGTTTTTCTTCTGCGAAGGTAAACATGATTTTAAAAAATTGCACAACCATGCGTGTATGAAATTTCAGACTTGGTGTTTTTCAGACGAGTTTTTCCTGACGGCCCTGTGCAGCCTGGACGAACGTCTGGAGGAAGCAAAGCGGGCTGTGTCCGACAACCTCGGCTGGCTGCCCAGATTTAAGACGCTGGCTGAGACGTGGCCCTTCCTGAGAGAGGAGGAGGGGGAGCCGGCCACTGGGGTTCTGTGTCAGGTAACTGGTGTTGTCGTTGTTGTTTTCAGAATAGATAGTTTAAATAGTTTTTTCCAAGAAAATTGTTTTTTCCAGGAAATAAATTATTTTCCAGGAAGAGGACTTATTCAGGAATGATGTTTTTTTCTTGGAAAACAGAATTAATTTTTTCCAAAAAAATATAGTTTTTTCCAGGAAAATATATTTTTTTCCAGGAGAATTGTTTTTATTTTTCAGGAAAATATTTTTTTCAGAGAACAAGAATTTTTTTCAGGAAAACAAGAATTTTTTTCAGGAAAACAAGAATTTTTTTCAGGAAAACAAGAAATTTTTTCCAGGAAAAAAATTTTCTTAGGCCATACCAATTTAATTTCTTGGTTAACGGATTCGCCTCTTCATTTTTTTCTGATTTGCAAATAAAAATAAAAATTCAGAATCAACTGCAAAATGCTCATATTTTGCCCTGAACAGTTGAAAACAGTCCTTTTCTTACTACTTGTTACAGTCCTTCCATCTTTTAATGCAGTGCTACCATTAAAAGTTCAAAATTTATTGTTTAAATTTTGAACCAGCCTGGTGTGTTGACTTCATGGCTCCTATCGTACCATTTTGGGCCATAATAGGATGCCTAGGCCTGTTTTTATTTTTATTTTTTTTTCGCCCGCCCGCTCCATTATTTTTCTAGAAAAATCCATTAACCAAGAAATTAAATTGTTGTGGCCTTACAGGAAAATAATTTTTGTCCAGGAAGAGGAATTTTCCAGGAAAACAGAATTTTTTTAGGAAAACAGAATTTTTTTAGGAAAACAGAATTTTTCCAGGAAAACAGAATTTTTCCAGGAAAACTGAATTTAGTTTAGGTACACAGAAATGGGTCACATGTTAACCCCTCCGCCATCCTCCCCAGGCATGTGAGAAGCAGGGCCATGTTGCAGCCAAGCTCCTTCGTTTGGACGGCCGACCCTACGACAGGCTAACACTCCAGGACAAGGAAACACCATCCACCAGCTCTGAACAGGAACAGGTGGGGTGATGTTTGTTTACTCTGTTTATTTACCACAGTTGTGGAAGGACTGACATAACAGGTGCCTATCACCTTTGCAAGATGTCAACCTTGAAACCAGACTGACTGTAAGGTTTGAACCACTCTGGACAGCAAGGATTATGTTTTTGTCAAAAACTCATCATTCTTGTACAGTGTAGTTAGAACTGTGAAGGTTATTACTCACACTCACTCACTCACTGTCCGGTTCAGTATAATATAACCAGCTGCCACCACACTACGTGCCTGCAAAGCTGGTGTCTTACACTAAAGGGCGGTTGTCTTCGAGGTTTTTTAGACCTTTTTTTATGTTAAACCTTGGTAGTGCTGCAGTGTTTGTATTCACAGATGTTACAGCTATAGAGACCCAGGTATCCCTGTACTACATGTACATAGATTGTCAGTAAGTCTTGTTACAAAGTAAAAAGTATGTTAACTTTGTGTTGACAGTTGTTGCAGGTAGGCAGAGTGTGCGGAGAGAGGCTGTCCCTCTACCACCGGCTACACCACTACAGATTCCAGCTCTACAGGCGCTGTATGGCAAAGGTAGGCAGCCATGGACTTTTTACCTCCGGGGAGGAGACATCCTTCCGCGGGGTGTCCTCACACTGAGGGGTGTCCGGTCTCGATAAATTCTTTGTTTAAAACCCTATATAAAAATATACAATGAAAAGCCTGGAGGTATAAAATCTCAGATTTTACTTGTTTCTACTTTTGTTGCTCACCTGACTTATATTGCTGAGAGAATAGATCCAGTCATAGACATGAAGTCATGGATCACTGTTCATTGACAAGGCAAAAATGCCACAAATAAACTTCTACTAAAGGAAGAAGCTAGACTAGCTCCTTCTATACTACACAAAAATTTTTATGTTTAAAGTTCAAACTTTTGGTCCATCACAAAAACAAGTTCTCTCACCTAGAGCTTTCGACCAGTCACTCTGGTCTTCCTCAGTAGACTGACCCAGTGAGGCTTGTCACGTGGCTTCTTTGAAGTGTGACGTCAACACTGGGTCAAAGGTATATGGTAAAAATTTTTACAAAATTTTTAGGTGCACCCATTGATAGTTTTATAAAGTATGTCCAAGAAGTCTCTTGTTTTTTCCTTGTGTTTTTTGCACAGAGTACACAATTCAGCTTTTAGCTGCTAAGTGCTACTTAAGTACTGCTTATTAATAAACTGTCATAATTCATTCATTTCTGACTCATCTGTACCCCAGGTTGCGACCCTACAGGAGGAGCACCCAGAGTACCCACAGGAGGAGGTGGTACGGCAGATCCTCAGGAACATCAGCTGGGTCAAACAGGTCAGATTAACTTTCCTTAAGTCCCTGTCAAACACCAAACAGATCAGACAAACTTCTCTTGCCCTTCGGGCATTTTTTACACAATAGTTTCAAATAAATTGATGCCTCAATCAGGACTTTTTTGCCCTGTGGTGGTATAGTTACTTCTGCATTCCTTGCGTTTCGTTGCAGTGCGATGTGTTGCACGAGAAATATCCCAAATCATACATAATATATGTAGAGAGCTAAATGGTAGATGGTACTATATGTGCAACCCATATATGTATGGGTTCTTCAAGACAAGGGTTTTAAAGTCCCTATCACACACGACCAAGGTGTGATGAAGTTCGGGAGCAGTCTGACCAGATTGATTTAGACCGTGCCTACATTTCTATACGAGCCAAATGGTATTGAGTTAAGTTTTAGTTTAGCCTTGCCCCTACCTACTCCCGAACTTCAGACCCTCAGTCTAGTGGCTGCTATGTGAAACATCTAACTTTTCCAACAATGTATCCAGTAGTTTCATGTATTTTGTATGAAGTTCTACCTGGATGTCTGATCTTCATTTGTGTCTACAAAAACATCTTGTGACGGTGTCTTATGTACTTCCAGCTGTATGAGGAGCTGCGAAGTCTCCTGGAGGACTGCCAGGCTGTGATGTCAACATAACCAAGGCCGAGGGCTTTCTGCAAGAGAGAGAATTCTCCAACGTCTGTGGGAGTTACAGCCTCCCTGTGTTAGTCACTGTTACTGTTCTGTTACTGTTACGTACTGCATGTATCACAGGGTTGGACAAGTTTTCAAAAATCTACTTGCCCTGTCAGGCAAGTACATAGTTATTTCCACTTGCCCGAGCCAACTTTTCATTTGTCCAAAATATGACGTATTTCTATGAATTTTACTTGCAGAAAGGAAATTTTATATTTCAATGAAAAAAAAAGCACTTAATTAAAGTTTATGATATTGCTTGCTTTATTTACCAAAATAAGGGCACACGCACTTTGAGACTTCACTGACGAAAGGGCATATTTTTTACTTGTATCAATGTAATATCTTCATTTGAAAATGATGTGTAATTTTGCTTCAAACACTGCATTAAAAAACTTTACCTGCCCAAACAGGTAAGTGTAGGGGGATATTCACTTGCCTGAACAGTGCATTTCGTTACCCTGGGCAAGTCGGCAATTGGACTTGTCCAACCCTGTATCTGCTTTTCGTTCACACGTTTGTTTGTTGCAATACGATGTATGCCGCCATGTGCAACCACTAGTAGAATTAAGTTTTATCTGGAGATTCTGAGGTTTTCAATCCCCTTGAAAATCCTCATGATTCCACCACGTGCAACAGCTAGAATTAAGTTGTATTTGGAGATTCTGAGGTTTGATTTCTCTTGAAAATCCTCTAACTGCCTCTGACTGAAGAGCTGTTTTGGATGGTACGGTGAAGTGGCCCAGTGTGTAACAAGTTAGTTTAACTTTATTAAAGAAGTCTTTTTATAATGAGCAAGCTGGTCTGTGGAAAAATGTAGGGAGGACAATATATCTGGGAAGGGTGTGGTTTTCCTTGAAATCCAAATGTCTGTCTTCAACTGGAAACCTTTTAGACCTAGAGAAGTGGTCTTGTACACTGTACCTGTACACTGTATCTAGATTTGTTAAAATAGTTTTACGATGACCAGGCTAGTGTGTGGAAAAACTTGAAGCAAGGGATATACCAAAGGAAGGATGTCGTTTTGAAAGAAGAAAAGTTCTGTATTTTATTCAAATGAGGGTATGTGGGTAGGATAAGTAATAGAAAACTCTTGTACAGCTGAAACAACATTAAACTGCTCGTCCAAAACCTGTGCATTTGAGCCAGCAGAATAATTAACTGTTGGAAAGAAGAAGAAGATTACCTGTAGTAGATAGGTTGTGTTAATTATCATGATGTTTTTCAACATGAAACATTGAGTAGTTTGGCACAACTACTGACTTAAAGCACAGCATTGTCTTAAAATTCCAAAATCAACCTGGACATCAGTGTTAAAAATTAATCCTGTACAGCTATGGCTCGCCTTTTACCTTCCATTTGTTAGAAGTATACGCCAGTACAGTAAACCTGTCTAAAAAGCCAGTACAGTGTATCTTTTGAAAAAGTATCTTCCATAAACATTAGTGAGAAGCTCAGTTTCTATAACCAGCCTTTGACTTTGTTTGACATATTGCACACAATGCCTTACACTGCACATGTGTAGTTTAGACTGTGAGCTGGCTTATTGTTTGCTCTTTATGTTGTATAGTTACTATTGTTGATCAATGTGGTCTGATCTTAGAAACTACTTTTTAACTACGGCCTAGGAAAAAAAACTGTTGTGTTTCCTGTTTCAGTCTTGGAAAAATTATGGTCGGTAGGTAGGGATTATCTTCTTTTCTTAGACTTTGGAAATCTCAATCAAGACCCAACTTATACAATACAGTTTAACAAAGTAAAACTTGCATGAGGACACTTGCTGTCCATGTCATGTCAATGTTGGAAAAATGATTGTACTCAGCACAGTGTATTCTTCACTCAGGTGTCAGATCATTGAGCTAGGAAAGGTCGATCAGCTCAAAATATTTATGTCCCTTGCAGGGGTCCACAAAAATAAGGCTAGGATCTACATGTTTTTCTAGGATCGTTTGGGAAACAGGAAACAATTTTTTTTTCTAGGCCCAAAGAAGAAAGTTCCTATTTAATTCTACATGACACCCGTAACAATGTAATCCTTATGCAGTAATTGGGAAATATTGTTAGTGCAAACACAATAAGGAAATACAGTTCGAACGTAAATTTATTCCTTTTAATTCTTGGCAGCTCATGCGTACACTTTTGTATCACTTTATTAGCGATAGTATCGTATTATACACTACTGTAGTATGTATTAGTTATAATACATGTACATGTATATTAGTTCTTCCTACGTGTAAGACCATTCTTTTATTCACTGAAGGCAAGAATACCGACTGTGTTTCGTCTTTTATTGTGTCTTTAATTTCTTCAAAGTGTCGTCGAATGAGAAGCCGTACGCTTCGTAGTCGAAAGAGAAGACTTCGCCGAGCTTGATAATGTCTTCGTGGGGGATTTCGGCGTACATTTTAGCCATGTTGTCGTCAGCGCGCCTAGCGGCTTGTGTTGGTGCTGCAACCTTGCCCAGAATGCCGGTCTTGTGCATGATAAACTTGACGTCATCACCCATCGTGTCTAAATGCCCGATGTAGTCATAGTGGATCTGTAAAGAATACGGTGCGAGAAAGGAAAAAAGGATTTGTCGTAGTAAACAGAAATCACATTTCTCAAGTATTCTACTTCAATGAAACAACGCAATAATTGAGATGCTCTATTAAGGTAGAACGTCGACAAAACGTTCTACTGCGTGTACTATGGTTTCTGTTGGATATCTTTTCCGACACAATATTTAAAAACTATAGACGGGAACGCAACGATACGTTAAAGGATATGTTGGACAGGTTTTCAAAAATCCACTTGCCCAAACCAACTTGTCACTTGCCCGAAATGTCGCATGCACCAATCTAAAAGTCCATGGGGATATGCTTTTACTTGTCCTGGGCAGGTGGACTTGCCCAACCCTGAACTGTGCTATGCACACATGGTAAATCGCGTGGGCGCAGTACGTTCTACACGTGCTTGGGACGCTATATGTACAGACGCACGCACACACACACAAACACACACACATATGTTTAAACACACACACACCCTGGTTTTGAATTCCGACCTAGACATTAAGACGTCCTATTGTGAGTGTTGACGTTAACGTACCACGCATGGATGGCAGATGCCGTGCTGAGGTGCCCAGTGGACGTTCTTGTATTCCCGCCTCCTGGTCAGAACTCCGCGGACGAACTCTGGAAAGGTCACGTTCAGCCTTCCTCCTGTCTCAAGCCTGGAGAAGGGAGAGAAAGTACAAACGCTGTGCTGACATAATCTCCAAGTAGATCCCTTTCGGTGGCAAGACAATACCCATTAGCCAGAGATGGCCGTGCGTGCTAGGCTCCTCTGGCTAGGCTAATACTTATAGATACTGTCTTGCCACCGAAAGGGATCTGCTTCAATGGAGATTATGCTGACAAACGATGAGTGTTTCTGTGTGTGTGTGCTGTGGGAGATTTCAAACATCCGCATTCCACATACCGTAATCCGTACTAATTTTATGTAAACCTCATGCAAAGTTTGAATGCCGAAAAGCGGCTGTGTCTATTACTTATTTACTATATAGAGAAATATGTTCATCACATTCCAATTTAATGAAACATGCCTGTTCTCGTGATTCGGAATATCATCATGATGTGCTCTCACCTTTTCTTCTCTCCGGTTGTCCTTCCCTTCACAAAGTGATCCCCGTACAGAGCTTCAAACAGATCCACTGCCCGACCGTACCTGTAGGCAGAACAAACATGTCTGTGTGTGATGTAGCTTGACTACTCAGCCGGCCATCGAATTTGTCTTAAGACTTTTTGACGTCGGATTTTCAACGAGATCCTCGACGGCACAATTGCCTGTCACAAAACAGCCAGGACTGTCCCCAGAATGCGCTCCATGTTAGCTAGAAGCTGGTGTATTACGACGAAGGGTGATTATACCAGCTATACAGAGATACAGTATAGTGGAAGAAGCTGGAACTTAAACATCGACCAGTCACTGATATGCAGGACTTGTTGCAGGACTTGTTTATCAAGAATCGGCCTATTCAGCCACCAGAGGTCATGCCGGCGTGAAAAACCTTCCTGATCTTCGTTCGCGAGGACAAGCCATGACAGAGATACAGTGTGGCTTAAATCGTGTTGTACGTCCAATATGACCAGGCCCTTACCTGTATCTGTGGATTGATGTAGATAATGCTACCTGAACTTGTCCTGGTAGGCGGACAAGAGTCTCTCCAGGGGTTCTCTCACGATCATGAACTTGGTGTAATTTTCCAAGCGGTGCCGGAGGTCCCGGGACCCTGCCTTAAACCTGTAGTTTGAAAAAAAGTTTGTGATGGGGGTATCTTTTGACTGCTATGATGTTTTCTTTTATTGCAGTCGTCGTCTATACATTCACCCATTCATCGTAGAGTCACAAGGATTGTACGGTAAAATTGTTCCACCATTTTGAGCGAAGATGCGATAAAACTAGCCTCTATCAGGCTTCGGGAGGCGGCTGGAAAGAGTGGAAATCGGCCAAATAGAGATATAACATGCCAAGGGCCAGGAGCTGGTATGCTGGAGGGAACATTTTGCCTCTCCAGTAGACCAACTCCCTTGGCATGTTATCTCTCTATTTGGCCGATTTCTACTCTTTCAGCCGCCTCCCGTAGCCTGGTAGAGGCTAAGATAGAACAAACTGACGACAAATCACACGATAGACTACGCTGCTCTGTCATAAGACAGCTTCATTTCACGGAACACGTTCACGACTGCGACAAGCCTTTCGTACGACACATCTAAGATTCGGAAACCTGTCATACCTGTCGAACGACACATCTACGACTCAGACGTCATACAAGACGAATGAAAATCTAAGGTAACGACAGCATGCTTTACCTGCTGAGGTCTTTGAATGCCTTTGGGTCGTAGACACCGAACTTCTGGATGTATTTGTAGTTGGGGTCGACCTGAATGAAAAGAAACCTACAATGAGTGCACTGGAAGACAGAAGAAAAATGTCCAGACTAGGCATGATGTACAAAATGACTAATAAACTGGTGGACGTACCAATCACTAAGTACCTAATACCAGCTCAGAAGAGAACAAGAAATAGCCATGCCTTCGAAGTACCAGAGTTATCAACCATTACCAAGATTGAGGTGTTCAAAACCTCATTCTTTCCTAGAACGTATCGCAGAGTGGAACTGTACACCAAGTACAGTAGAGGCATTTTCATTAGACACGTTGATTAGATAGATTGAACCGCGACGAGGGTCGACATCGTCTACCAGATACCTTTGACCCAGTGTTGACGTCACACTTCAAAGAAGCCACGTGACAAGCCTCACTGGGTCAGTCTACTGAGGAAGACCAGGGTGACTGGTCGAAAGCTCTAGGTGAGAGAATTTTTTGTGTTGGAACAAAAGTTTTAACTTTCAACATGTAACTACCAACACAGATGATCTTTCATGATAGATAGATTAGATGTTAAGAGTTAGACGTTGAAGGGTATACCGGCTATACAGATACCTGCGCCAGGATGTTCTTCATGGTCGTACTTCCCGACTTGGCGACGTCACAGAAAACTGTCCTGTAAGGGTCGTTATACCGCAGCTTGTGCAGCCGCCGGGGTGGGGGGAGAGGGCCCTGGAACATGCAAACGTTACCAAGAGAGACACCATGTGAGCAAATACGCCACTTCCAGAAGAGGGAGAAGAGGAGGGATTGGGAAGGGCCATGGAATGGTATTCTTATCCGCATCCAATCAGTTTAGTAACCACCCATCCACTCCTTCCTTCATTCATTCGCCGAATCATTCACTCCTTCATTCATTCATTCATTCATTCATTTACTCACTCACTAACTCATTCATTCATTCTCTGAATCGTTCATCCCTTCATTTATTCACCTCATTCTTTCATTCACTCCATTCATTCATTTACTCTCTCCTTCATCCATTCACTCTATACATTTACTCTTTCATTAATTCATTCATTCACTCAGAACGAGGGCAATCTTGCTCTCGTTCACTCTCACTCACTCACTCACTCACCCACCCACTCACTCACTCACTCACTCACTCACTCACTCACTCACTCACTCACTCACTCACCCACTCACTCACTCACTCACTCACTCACTCACTCGCCCACTCACTCACTCACTCACTCACTCACTCACTCACTCACTCACTCACTAAGACCCTCATTGGGCATCACGCCCACTCATTCCATTCCACGCTTGAAAAAATTTTGGGATGATTGGAGTTAAATGTGTAAGTCATCAGTTACTAGTACATACCTTGATATTGTGCCGTTTGCAGGCTCGCCGCACGGTGGCTCTCCGAGCAGCGTGCACTTCTTCCATCCGTGCGAGCCACGCTTCCCACTTCTCTTCTCCCGCTCCCTTCTGCAGGGGTGTCTGCATCTGCAGTGCGTTAGATTTACGCAAGGTGTCTCCCCTGACTGGTGATAACTCCTCTTCTATATCTTCTTCTGGGAATGAAGAATTTAACCACATGGTGTCTCTCTTGGTAATGTTAGCATGTTGCTCTGGCGTCTCCCCGTTTTGGTGGGTTTCTTGGGCTGCTAGATCATTCTCGTCCATAGACTGGTCTGCGTCTACTGGATTATATGAGCATAACAAGTTGTTGTTGTGGGAATTAAGAGAAAAGAGATTATGGGTATTTAGAGGGCCTTCAAAGATTCAAAATTGCATTTTCAACAAGCAAATTGCATCATTATTGTATGTTCAAAACGAAATTAAGGGGAAGTTGAACGGCAATACATTAAATGGACTCTTAGGATATTGATTTTGAGAAAATTTACACAAACTCGAAACGATATCATGCATATATTCATCAGCGCTACTTTCTACCATATTAGGAATGTTAGTAGAAGTATGACGTCGTACCTTTGGTCTCTCCGACCCTTGCCCTCTGTAGCGGAACCGCAATGATTGACGGGATCGCTGACGTCAGCTGGTTATACTTCGTTACCATGGCGACGGTGACGCAGGCCGCGAGGAGGATGCACGTCACCAATGACGTCAGCTTAAATCTGTCCGGAGGTCTGGGCTGGGAAATAGATTATGACTATAACGTAAGTGTTGGCCGCCATGTTGGACGCTTAAACCTTTTGGATTTTGGTATATTTGCATTTGGACACTTCAATTCAACATGGTGCTAGTGACGTAATATGAGCGGTTGCCATGACGTCACGGCCTGCGAGTGGTAGGCAAAAAGTGGACGACAATTCTGTCATTTGCCTCGCAAATGTTTTCAAATAAAATATATATATCTTGACATGATTTCCATATATATGACCTAAACAAAAACAGCGATCATTCGTATGAGGTGTAGTGGAAAAAAGTGTCCGACCCCCATCAAATCGTTGAAATGCAAAATGACTCGAAAACCTGAAATTTGGCCGGCAATAGCTCCTATTCAGTATCTGTTCCTTTTACAAGCATTATCATTCACAGAGACAGAGACACAAATACAAATCCAAACACATAAACAGACAAGCCATTAACACAACTTTACAGACGTCAGCTGACCTAAAGGTAAAATAAGCCTAGTCGTTGCAAAAACGATGCACTGACATCCGATCGAGTGCAAGCTGCCAAACAAACTATGTACTGAAAAACAGACACCATACCTTGATGTCACCATTGCTGATGGAAAAGACAGACATCTTTTCTTCAACGAGGGAGGGGTTTTTTTTGGCTGGTCGCGATCGTAGGCCGCATGCGTGCAAGGGCTGATCCATGTACTAGTATATTTATAAGGAACGGCAAGACAATGGCCACAATGGACAGGTGGTCCTTATGCAGAAGTCACTAGACAAGTACAGATTTGGTTGTACGTGTGTGTGCGTGTGTTTGACTTACAAAACTTGAAGATGATTCCCAAATGGAATGGCCATTGCTAATCATCCCCCTCCCCAACTATATCTACTGAACCATCCCTAGTCCAGGTAATGCAGAACACCTGAGTCGCAGGTGAGGAAACATGGTTTTACTTTGAATCAGAAGGGAACATCACAGAGCATCCCAACATCCAAACAAACAAACTTCCCGGGCGTCCACTCGCATCGTCTTGCGATGCCGTCGTCTTGGAGGTACGTCCAGGTTCCCCTCTTTTACTTTTTGGTTGTGAGATTTCTGCCACAATTGCTGCGTCCATGGCCACAATGGACAATGGCCACAATGGACAGGTGGCCCTTATGCAGAAGTCACTAGTGCAGATTTGGTGGTACGTGTGTGTGCGTGTATTTGACTTACAAAACTTGAAGGAGATTCCCAAATGGCATGGCCATTGCTAACCATCTTCCTCTCCAACAATATCAACTGAACCATCCCTAGTCCAGGTAAGGCTGAACACCTGAACCGCAGGTGAGGAAACATGGTTTCTATTTTGAATCAGAAGGGAACACCACAGAACATCCTAACAAACAAACTTCCCGGGCGTCCAGTCCTATCGTCTTGCGATGCCGTCGTCTTGGAGGTACGTCCAGGTTCCTTTGTTTTCCTTTTTGGTTGTGAGATTTCTGACACAATTGCTGCGTCCCGTTTTTGATTGGGTTACAACGAAATCAAGAAAGAGGGAAAACTAGACAGGAGAGACAAGAGTTTTCTTGACTACATTTTTTCTGTCTATTACAGTCCGTGTACCGTGGACTGAGCTGTTTGTTTGTACGCAGCTGGACCCATGTTGAAGAATCTGACTGATCCTCAGAACCTTGTGGTCATGGCCCTGTTCACATCATCGTTGTTTGTTTGTTTGTTTATTTGTTTTCTCTGTAAACAGATCCACTTTGAAGAATCTGGCAGCATCCATGGTCCTGTACCTGGCGAAAGTGGTAAAATCATTGTTTGTTTGTCTGTACACAGATCCATGTTGAAGAACCTGGGAATACCCATGGTCCTGTACCTTGTGGTTGTGGTGACATCATTGTCTGCTTATTTGTTTGTTTGTTTGTTTCTTTGTACTATAGATCCATGCTCAAGAACCTGGCAGTGCCCATGATTCTGTACATCATGTTTATGATGACATAATTATTTTTTTATTTACGTGTTTGTTTATTTGTACACAGATCCATGTTTAAGAACCTGGGAGTACCCATGGTCCTGTACCTTGTGGTCGTGGTGGCATCATTAGTTGTTTACTTTGTTTGTTTGTACACAGATCCATGTTTAAGAACCTTGGAGTGCCCATGGTCCTGTACCTTGTGATTGTAGTGATGATCACCGCCTTCTTCAGACCCAGTCTCCATCGACTGTACCAGGACTCGGGTAAAGTCTTATTACTTATAATATATAGTTTACGTGGATTATTTCTTTAGACTGTTGCAGTTTAAGGACATACGGGTTTCTTTTTTAGGGATTGTTATTAGTATGATTTTTCTCTTTTCAGTTGACTTGAAAATTGTGTTGTTGGGTCCATCGTCCATTGCGACTCTCCATGCGTATTTGTTTTAATGTATTTGCTAATGTACGCACGTCCAGTTCTCTCCAAAACCTTCGCATGATGATGGTAAGAATGATTAAACTTTCCTTACATCGGAAATCTTTATCAAGCGTTATTAAGAAGGTTTGATCTAAGATTGCCTACTTTTGTACTTGACCAAAGATTGAAACGTCATAATCAAGTGGTCGCAAACACCCCATATTACCTTCCATTGAACCGCGACGGGGGTCGCCATCGTCTACCCTATACCTTTGACCCAGCGTTGACGTCACACTTCAAAGAAGCCACGTGACACGCTTCACTGGGTCAGTCTACTGAGGAAGACCAGAGTGACTGGTCGAAAGCTCTAGGTGAGAGAATTTTTTGTGTTGGATCTAAAGTTTTAACTTTAAACACCCCATATTAGGAGAACTCCCGCCTGGCTGGGAGAGTCGACTACTGGGAAGGGAGACGGAGTCGGAGTGGGAAACTCGCATGGCGAATATCCACCAGGACAGGAGGGAAGCTCTACACAGGGCGTGTCAGAGGTTCAACATGAAGGCAAGAATTCAGCATTTTTAGATCACTAACTGGTACTACATGGTATAACCGCCAATCGGTGTAACACAGCTGTTTCTGTATGTGTTGGTTTAGCCGGTATAACCGCCCTTCGGTGTTACACACCATCTTCGCAGGCTGGCGGCGCGGCGGCAGCTGGCTTACACCGAACGACCTTTTACACCCATTTTTGCACATTTAATTGCAGGAGTTGTTTAAAGCTTTCAAGTGATGATGCCCCAACTTTGGTGGCAACAACTTCCACTGCACGATAGTTATTGAAAAATACGAGTTTTTGAACACGTCAATTCTTGGTTGATAACTTTTATATTTGAAGGCATAACTGTTTCTTGTTCTTTTCTGGGCTGGTATCATATACTTAGTAGTCGGTACGTCCACCAGTTTATTAGTCATTTTGTACATCATGCAAAGTCTGGACATTCTTCGTCTGTCTTCCAGCGACCCCCACTGTTTCTATTCATTTTCGTTCCAATCTTCGAATCTTTGTGCCCTTGGGAAAGGCACTTTACACCATCTTCCTTTCCCTGTATGGTGGAGTGAGGCCCATCAAACTTCTTCGGCTAATTATATATATAATATATAATCTGTCAAAATGTGTGCCCAAAACACACTTGAGATTTGGTGCGCCAATGTGACAGCATCTGCACATTTCCCACCAAGAATCGTAAATTTTCTTTTCTCAACAGGGCCCTCCCCCGCCGCCGAGGAAGCTGCACAAGTTACGGTATAACGACCCGTACCGGCTGGTGTACTGTGACGTGGCGAAGGCCGGAAGCACCACCATGAAGCAGATCCTAGCCAAGGTGGACCCAAACTACGACTACATCAGGAAGAACGGACTGCACGACCAGGGAGCTTTCAAGGACCTAAGCCAGTGAGTGATCACGAAGGGAAGTCATTATTGTACAGTTGGATCTCGCTCCATCATCCATAGTCCCCAATAGCAACTTAACTTGTCAAAACTGCCTCCAGAAGAATACTAGTAATCATCACATCTCGGAGAGTCCAAAAGCATCACTCTGAAAACTAACATTTCATCCTGTTACTGGATGTTTGGTTACATGTCATTTGAAGATAATTAGATGTATCGCTTTTTTCTTCATGCTTCATTGCTTCAAATTACGAATTCCACTGCATTCAAAATCAAAAATAGTTGATTAATTTACTGACTACATTTCCATAATCATTAATAATCATTAAAAATTGCCACAGATTCCCTTCTGGTTCCCCCGGCCTGACCCACCGCCTGACGAACTACACCAAGTTCATGATCGTGCGTGAGCCGCTGGAGAGACTGCTGTCCGCTTACCAGGACAAGTTCATGTACGGACGGGGCGTCCGGGAATACGAGAACAACTACGGTAAACACTTCCTGGAAGTCAGGACGCCCAACGATGCGGACAGGTTCGTGTTATTCACTCCATCACTCAGTCACTCAGTCACTCACTCATTCATAAACTCATCCACTCACTCTCTCACTCTCACACACACTCACACTCATTAACTCAGTCATTCACTCATTAACTCACTCATTAACTCAGTCACTTACACACTCGCTCACTTAATCATTCACTCACTCTCCCACTCACGTACTCTCTTACTCATTCACTCACTCATTCATTCACTCATTCATTTACTCACCCATTCACTCACTCGCTCACTCACTCATTAACTCACTCACTCATTAACTCAGTCACTCTTACTAATTCACTTACTCATTCACTCATTCATTCACTCACTCACTCCCTCACTCATTCATTCACTTACTCTTACTCACCCATTCATATTCAATCATTCATTCACCAAATCACTCTCTCATTTACTTGTTGGCTCGTTCACTCATTCACTCAAATTCTTTCACTCGTTCCATCCACACACCCCACTCACAGATGGCAGAAGATGGCGACCCATGCGTCTCCCTCCAAGGTCCGACTGAACGTGACGTTTGCGGAGTTCGTGCGCGGTGTGCTGACGGGAGAGGAGCGGTACTTCAATATACACTGGCAGCCTCAGCACCTGATCTGTCATCCTTGTCAGGTTAGTCAAGGAAAATATGTTGTTTTTGCACTTTGTTTTTGTTTCTTCTTCTTCCTCCTCTTATTCTCCAAACAAATAATGTCAATGACGCCAGGACCAGACGCCTGTCACCGTGGTAACTAGTGTTGGGTTATATCATGTTGTAATTTTATAGCAGGAGGGATTTAGACTCCTGTCACCATATACGTATGAATGTGTTTTTGAGCAGACCATATATGCAAAGGTAAACATTATGTATTAGCTTTGCAAATGTTACGTTTCTAATTTGTGTTTTTTTTTGCACTTGCGTTTGTCGCCCTTCGCGATCTCCTGAAGCCCGGAGCCACCTTGTTACATTGTGAAATCTAATCCAAGCAGTAACCATGGTGGTCACCTGTTTGTTTGACAGCTGGGATCTGTCTGGAGACCAACAAAAATAGTTTTCTACGAATGTGCGAAGCTGGTGTGTTACGAAGAAGGGCGGTTATACCGGCAATACAGATACAAAAGCTGGTGTGTTACGCCGAAGGACGGTTATACCGGCAATACAGATACAAAAGCTGGTGTGTTACGCCGAAGGGCGGTTATACCGGCTATACAGATACAGAAGCTGGTATGTTACGCCGAAGGGCGGTTATATCGGCTATACAAATACAGAAGCTGTTAGGCCGAAGGTCGGTTATACCGGCTATACAGATACAGAAGCTGGTGTGTTACGCCGAAGGGCGGTTATATCGGCTATACAGATACAGAAGCTGTTAGGCCGAAGAGCGGTTATACCGGCTATACAGATACAGCTATTAAAAAGCCTATATGACGACTGTCCTTGCAGATTCGCTATGACTACATCGGCCACTTGGAGACCATGAGTGATGACGTCAGGTACATCATGCAGAAGACCGGCATCATCGAGAAGGTTGCACCACCAAAGCAATCCGCTAGGCGCGCTGGTAACAACATGGCGGCCATGTACGCTAATATCCCGCTGAAACACATCAGGCAGCTGGGCAGAATGTACGCTTTTGATTATGTAGCCTACAGTTTTCCCTTCCACCAGACTGTAAGGGACATTGTTAAAGTGTGGGAGGACGAGCTGCAGCTGTAAAAGAGACTGTTAATGTGAGAAAAAAGCATCTGAGAGGACTATACAAACAGTGCCTTTCCCTATCTAGAATAATAATGATAATGTATGAAGCATCTGATAGGACGACACATACACTCTATTCCTGTATCTAGCATAATGTTGGAAATGCAAAAGTCAGTTGTTACTCAAGCAACTGGATACATTTTGGAAACTGTCGGATGTTTCGAGTCAGGTCCTGTACAGTCACGGACGAAACGTAGTGGATGCTAAATAAAACATCTGGCAGTCTTTCATAATCTATCCAGTTGCTTGAGTGAAAATTTCCTTGTGTATCTCATTATCTGGATGTCTAACCTTTATTGGTTAATGGTAAATAACCGATGTATTGGTTAATGGTTTATTCAAAGGTGTACAGACTTGTAGGGTTCCTATATCAGGCTCTCACGAATCGACATTGTGACATTTACAATTATAACGAACTTGATGAAGACATTTGAATCTTCTCTTTGCCACTGCTACATTCAAATGTACGAAGAATTAGAATTAAGAAGAACGTATACAACAGTTTTTAAGTTGCAATTGTCACCTTAGTTCACGAAGTTTCTTCTCCTTACTTCCATGGATTCTTCATTCAGCCAAAACGTGAAAACGTGTGTACCATTTATCCTTTAAGTTAGAAGATCTATTAAAACATCTGTTTTTGATCACGAAGAGCGGTGTAATCTATAATGTAGTTGCATGTCTTTGATCTCTTGAAGTGGATATGAAAGAACAATCATTGGCATCTCCGTGAATAGTTTCATCAGGTTGGTAAGACACTGAGTAAAGAGACTCTTTTTACACAACCAAGTCTTTTATTCAGC